ATGCTTCTATTGTTACCAAGGCAACAGTAGACACTTCCATTCTGGGTGCTCTCTCTCCTTCACTCCATGGTTAGAATTTGATACTGGATTAAAGTTAGCCCCAGAGGGGGTATGTGTGCGTGTGAGTCGTTCCTCACCTTTTTGACTCGTTCATGCATTTTCCAGAGAATTTCTGGTGTGCTTGTGTTTTTATTTAGAAAGTAGAAACCCTCATCATTCTTAGGTTACATACTGCAGATGCTTTCAGCTGCGTTCATTGTATCATATATCTGGAGTCCTTACATTCCTCAGCTAGCCACATGCTAAAAACATGGGTAACACTTCATGCTTCCAATATTATTTATTGAGCTGGGCAGTGGGCTTGGCATTGCATCCCATACAGTAGTCATGATATAATATATCATGTTCACTGTTTTACTCAAGGAAAAGAGAGCAGATATCCACACATAGAGGAATCACCATAAACACTGTGAATTTGCATGCTAATTTACTAAGTGTGCTATTTGGGTGTTAATGTGTCCCATTGGTCAAGGAGATCATTTATAAGCAAGGTGATATTTGCATAATTCTGAGACGAGTGGTGGCGATTGGCAGGGAGTTGTCGGGGCAACTGCATGGGGACAGATGAAGATGAAGAGTCACACATGACAGGGTGTGAAGAGTAAAGACCCCTGTCTGGAGCATGAATCACGCCAGAGCTGGGGTAACGGGGTTGGAGGGTTATAGTATGTGGCTGCTGCCTCCAGTTTTGAGGAGTGAGAAAGAAGGGGCAAGACATGCTCAGTGACTCACACTCAAACACATGCACATACAGTGAGGGGAAAAAAGTATTTGATCCCCTGCTGATTTTGTACATTTGCCCACTGACAAAGAAATTATCAGCCTATAATTTTAATGGTAGGTTTATTTGAACAGTGAGAGACAGAATAGCAACAAAAAAATCCAGAAAAACGCATGTCAAAAATGTTATAAATTGATTTGCATTTTAATGAGGGAAATAAGTATTTGACCCCCTCTCAATCAGAAAGATTTCTGGCTCCCAGGTGTCTTTTATACAGGTAACGAGCTGAGATTAGGAGCACACTCTTAAAGGGAAACTCCAAACTCTCCACCATGGCCAAGATCCATGAGCTCTCCAAGGATGTCAGGGACAAGATTGTAGACCTACACAAGGCTGGAATGGGCTACAAGACCATCGCCAAGCAGCTTGGTGAGAAGGTGACAACAGTTGGTGCGATTATTCGCAAATGGAAGAAACACAAAAGAACTGTCAATCTCCCTCGGCCTGGGGCTCCATGCAAGATCTCACCTCGTGGAGTTGCAATGATCATGAGAACGGTGAGGAATCAGCCCAGAACTACACGGGACGATCTTGTCAATGATCTCAAGGCAGCTGGGACCATAGTCACCAAGAAAACAATTGGTAACACACTACGCCGTGAAGGACTGAAATCCTGCAGCGCCCGCAAGGTCCCCCTGCTCAAGAAAGCACATTTACAGGGCCGTCTGAAGTTTGCCAATGAACATCTGAATGATTCAGAGGAGAACTGGGTCCAAAATCGAGCTCTTTGGCATCAACTCAACTCGCCGTGTTTGGAGGAGGAGGAATGCTGCCTATGACCCCAAGAACACCATCCCCACCGGCAAACATGGAGGTGGAAACATTATGCTTTGGGGGTGTTTTTCTGCTAAGGGAACAGGACAACTTCACCGCATCAAAGGGATGATGGACGGGGCCATGTACCATCAAATTTTGGGTGAGAACCTCCTTCCCTCAGCCAGGGCATTGAAAATGGGTCGTGGATGGGTATTCCAGCATGACAATGAACCAAAACACACGGCCAAGGCAACAAAGGAGTGGCTCAAGAAGAAGCACATTAAGGACCTGGAGTGGCCTAGCCAGTCTCCAGACCTTAATCCCATAGAAAATCTGTGGAGGGAGCTGAAGGTTCGAGTTGCCAAACGTCAGCCTCAAAACCTTAATGACTTGGAGAAGATCTGCAAAGAGGAGTGGAACAAAATCCCTCCTGAGATGTGTGCAAACCTGGTGGCCAACTACAATAAATAATAATAATATGCCATTTAGCAGACGCTTTTATCCAAAGCGACTTACAGTCATGCGTGCATAATTTTTTTTTTTTTTTTTTTTTGTGTATGGGTGGTCCCGGGGATCGAACCCACTACCTTGGCGTTACAAGCGCCGTGCTCTACCAGCTGAGCTACAGAGGACCACTACAAGAAACGTCTGACCTCTGTGATTGCCAACAAGGGTTTTGCCACCAAGTACTAAGTCATGTTTTGCAGAGGGGTCAAATACTTATTTCCCTCATTAAAATGCAAATCAATTTATAACATTTTTGACATGCGTTTTTCTGGATTATTTTGTTGTTATTCTGTCTCTCACTGTTCAAATAAACCTACCATTTAAAATTATAGACTGATAACCTCCCGAGTGGCGCAGCGGTCTAAGCAGTGCTAGCTGTGCCACTAGAGATCCTGGTTCGAATCCAGGCTCTGTCGCACCCGGCCGCGACCGGGAGACCCATGGGGCGGCGCACAATTGGCCCAGCGTCGTCCAGGGTAGGGGAGGGAATGGCCGGCAGGGATGTAGCTCAGTTGGTAGAGCATGGCGTTTGCAACGCCAGGGTTGTGGGTTTGATTCCCACGGGGGGCCAGTATGAAAAATACAAAAAATTATGTATGCACTCACTAACTGTAAGTCGCTCTGGATAAGAGAGTCTGCTAAATGACTAAAAATGTAAAAAAATAAAAATTAATCTTTGTCAGTGGGCAAACGTACAAAATCAGCAGGGGATCAAATACTTTTTTCCCTCACTGTAGACAATTACAGTATGTATGAGTCGGTTGACTATTCTATATCCTGCACGCAACCATGTTCTCATGCACTGTATGTGTGTTTGGTGTATGTGTGTGTATATGTAAGACTCATCACAGAGGATCAAGCTGTCTAGTATATGATGTGATGTGATGACCTGATGTACAGTGTATTCGGAAAGTATTTAGACCCCTTGACTTTTTCCACATTTTGTTACGTTACAGCCTTATTCTAAAATTGATTAAATTGTTATTTTTTTCTTCATCAATCTACACACAATACTCCATAATGACAAAGCAAAAACATATTTGTAGACATTTTTGCAAAAAAAAAAAGTAAATATTCAGACCCTTTACTCAGTACTTTGAAGCACCTTTGGCAGCGATTACAGCCTTGAGTCTTCTTGGGTATGACGCTACAAGCTTGGCACACCTGTATTTGGGGAGTTTTTCCCATTCTTCTCTGCAAAGCCTCTCAAGCTCTGACAGGTTGGATGGGGAGCATCACTGCACAGCTATTTTCAGGTCTCTCCAGAGTTGTTAGATCAGGTTCAAGTCCGGGCTCTGGCTGGGCCACTCAAGGACATTCAGAGACTTGTCCCCAAGCCACTCCTGCGTTGTCTTGGCTGTGTGCTTAGAGTCGTTGTCCTTCAACCCAGTCTTAGGTCCTGAGCGCTCTGGAGCAGGTTTTCATCAAGGATCTCTCTGTACTTTGCTCCGTTCATCTTTCCCTCGATCCTGACTAGTCTCCCAGTCCCTGCCACTGAAAAACATCCCCACAGCATGATGCTGCCACCACCATGCTTCACCATAGGGATTGTGCCAGGTTTCCTCCAGACGTGATGCTTGGCATTCAGGCCAAAGAGTTCAACCTTGGTTTCATCAGACCAGAGAATGTTGTTTCTCATGGTCTGAGAGTCCTTCAGGTGCCTTTTTGGCAAACTCCAAGCGGGCTGTCATGTGCCTTTTACTGAGGAGTAGCTTCCGTCTGGCCACTCTACCATAAAGGCCTGATTGGTGGAGTGCTGCAGAGATGGTTGTCCTTCTGGAAGGTTCTCCCATCTCCACAGAGGAACTCTGAAACTCTGTCAGAGTGACCATCGGGTTCTTGGTCACCTCCCTGACCAAGGTCCTTCTCCCCCAATTGCTCAGTTTGGGCGGGCAGCCAGCTCTAGGAAGAGTCTTGGTGGTTCCAAACTTCTTCATTTAAGAATGATGGAGGCCACTGTGTTGTTAAGTACCATCCCCAATGATGATGGGATTGGGTTACAAATCATCCTGTCTGTCGTCCTTTACCGTACTCCTCACATCACCTTTAATAACAATGAAATGGAGAATACTTCTGTTAAGATTCTGTCTACCAGGCTGTCTATCGCTATAACACGCTAGCCTCTAATCCCAACCGAGACAGGCTGGCACGTAAACTCCTACATTTGCCTTCCTTTAAGCTTTAGCTGTGGTGTATTTTGTGAATAGGCCTCTGATAGCAAGCACAGAATTGAGCTGTATTTTTGATTGATGAGAGACCTCGCTCTCTCTCTCTCTCACAGGTCAATGTGTCGACTAAAGGACCTCTACAGGGTTGTTGTCAACGTAGGTCCCTGACGTCTTCAGTCTGCTGCCAGTCTGTTTAGTTAGTTAACCCATCTCTTCCTGGATCAGACCACCATCAACCTCCTGCATCACACCCATACACCCTCCTCAGACACCTGGCCAATCGCTGGTTCTGAACAGTGTTACCATGGACACCGAGTCCACCCACTCTGGGTACTCCAACAGATCCAACAGACATGGGTAAGAGCTCAGCTGACTTCATCTCTCGTTCTTTCTTTCCTAATTTCTCTCTCTTTCTGCTCTCTCTCCTCTCTCTGTCTTCTCTCTCTTTCTTTCGCTCTCTCTATCTATCCGCTCTCGCTCTCTCCCCTCTCTCACTCCTCACTCACACGCATGCACGCACACACACACACACGAGCGGATGTAATGTCAAGTTGCCAATGAGTTTGTTCAGATCCAGGCCTGTCTGTATCATCAGGGAGATGCTTATGTCTCTATCTGCCACTGAGCAACTGAATGCTGTTTGTCCCCACTGTGTATTGGTTTTTCATTTAAGCCTAGCCTCATGTCGGTTGTTGGAAAAACGTTTTTAAAAAGAGGGGGGGAGAAAGATGAGTGATGGGTAAAGCTCATGGAGTAGGGTTGTCACAGCTGACTGCCTTTAACCTATTTCACTGATTCACTCTGACTTGTTCTGTAAATGAGAGAGGGAGTGTGAGAGACTATTATGAGGGATTGGGCTTTCCTCTCCTCTCTCATTCCAACCTTCACCCGCTTGTTCATTGCCATATTCTTACTGTCTCTGTGCGTGTATGTGTGCGTGTGTGTGCGTGTGTGTGTGTGTGTGTGTGTAGGGAGCAGAGTCGGCGTGAGCGGCGTAAGCTCAGCAGTAAGGACAGCAGCCGGTCGGAGAGGTCTGTGATCATCAACACCCCCTACGGGCCCACTCAAGCCTCCCCCAACCACAACAGCGAGCCCCTGCTAGAAGTCCCTACCTCCGTGGCTGGAGACGAGGCTCCAAGCCTCCAGGTAAGCTCCAACCCAACAAATCAAAACTCACGCAAACCATGGCTAAGTGATTCGAAAAGCCCTGCACAGCTATACTGTACAATACAGCACCTGCTGCACAGCTATACTGTACAATACAGCACCTGCTGCACAGCTATACTGTACAATACAGCACCTTGTGCACAGCTATACTGTACAATACAGCACCTTGTGCACAGCTATACTGTACAATACAGCACCTGCTGCACAGCTACACTGTACAATACAGCACCTTATGCACAGCTATACTGTACAATACAGCACCTGCTGCACAGCTATACTGTACAATACAGCACCTTATGCACAGCTATACTGTACAATACAGTACCTGCTGCACAGCTACACTGTACAATACAGCACCTGCTGCACAGCTATACTGTACAATACAGCACCTGCTGCACAGCTATACTGTACAATACAGTACCTGCTGCACAGCTATACTGTACAATACAGCACCTGCTGCACAGCTATACTGTACAATACAGTACCTGCTGCACAGCTATACTGTACAATACAGCACCTGCTTACAGGAACCCTATACAAAAGCCATCTCCCAACCAATTTCATTCTCGCAGAGTCAAGCAGAACCCCCACAGGGAACCAGCTGAGTCCTACACCATGCTTTTCTAAACTCAAACAGCTGGGCACATCATAATCACCATAGTGACAGGGTCATAATCACCATGGTGACTAGGGGCCAAATAGGTCAAAGGATTTGCAAATCTCCCCTTGGCCTGTGTGAACTATACTTCCCATTCTTTGTTACTGCATGTGTATGTGTGTTTCTGTGTTGTGTTGTGTGTGTGTGTGTGTGTGTAGTAATGTGGTTCAATGTGTAGTCGTGCTGTGTGTGGGTCAGAATGTGTCTTGATTTATATCCAAGTGGTGATTTTAAATCCACATATGGTTATCTCTGGAAGCAAGCCTATGGTTTAGATGCTCTGACAATGAGGTTGTGATTTAGCTTTGGGCTATTGAAGCTAGGGTCAGACGGCTAGAGACTGGCTATAGAGGGAGATGGATCAGGTGAGCGAGACTGCTGCAGAGAGAGAAGGAGAGAGATGGATAAAGTGAGAGAAAGAGGGAGATGGTGATAGTTGTGTTAGGAGGCGTATACTCTGCCTCTTGCCCTGGGCAACATTCACAGACTCTCTGACCTACATGGCTTTCTACGTGGAAGGTCCTACATTAAATATACAGTACCAGTCAACATTCTGGACACACCTACTCATTCAAGGGTTTTTCTTTATTTTTACTATTTTTACATTGTAGAGTAACAGTGAAGACATCAAAACGATGAAATAACACATATCATGTCGTAACCAAAAAAGTGTTAAACAATTCAAAATATATTTTATATTTGAGATTCTTCAAATAGCCACCCTTTACCTTGATGACAGCTTTGCACACTCTTGGCATTCACTCAACCAGCTTCACCTGGAATGCTTTTCCAACAGTCTTGATGGAGTTCCCACATATGCTGAGCACTTGTTGGCTGCTTTGCCTTCACTCTGCCGTCCGACTCATCCCAAACCATCTCAATTGGGTTGAGGTCGGGGGATTGTGGAGGCCAGGTCATCTGATGCAGCACTCCATCACTCTCCTTCTTTGTAAAATAGCCCTTAAACAGCCTGGAGGTGTGTTGGGTCATTGTCCTTTTGAATAACAAATGATAGTCCCACTAAGCCCAAACCAGATGGGATGGCGTATCGCTGCAGAATGCTGTGGGAGCCATGCTGGTTAAGTGTGCCTTGAATTCTAAATAAATCACAGACAGTGTCACCAGCAAAGCACCCCCACACCATAACACCTCCTCCTCCATGCTTTACGGTGGGAACTACACATGCGGAGATCATCCGTTCACCCACACCGCGTCTCACAAAGACACGGCGGTTGGAACCAAAAATCTCAAATTTAGACTCCAGACCAAAGGACACATTTCCACCAGTCTAATGTCCATTGCTCGTGTTTCTTGGCCCAAGCAGGTCTCTTCTTCTTATTGGTGTCCTTTAGTAGTGATTTCTTTGCAGTAATTCGACCATGAAGGCCTGGTTCACACAGTCTCCTCTGAACAGTTGATGTTGAGATGTGTCTGTTACTTGAACTCTGTGAAGCATTTATTTGGGCTGCAATTTCTGAGGCTGGTAACTCTAATGAACTTATCCTCTGCAGCAGAGGTAACTCTGGTCTTCCATTCCTGTGGCGGTCAATATGAGAGCCAGTTTCATCATAGCGCTTGATGGTTTTTGCGACTACACTTGAAGAAACGTTAAAAGTTCTTGAAATGTTCCGTATTGACTGTCCTTCATGTCATAAAGTAATGATGAACTGTCGTTTCTCTTAGCTTATTTTTGCAGTTCTTGCCATAATATGGACTTGGTCTTTTACCAAATAGGGCTATCTTCTGTATACCCCACTACCTTGTCACAACGAAACTGATTGGCTCAAACGCATTAAGAAGGAAAAAATTAACTTTTAAGAAGGCACACCTGTTAATTTAAATGCATTCCAGGTGACTACCTCATGAAGCTGGTTGAGAGAATGTCAGGAGTGTGCAAAGCTGTCATCAAGGCAAAGGGTGGCTATTTGAAGAATCTCAAATATAAAACAGTGTCTGTCTGTCCGTCTGTCTGTCTGTCTGGCTGGCTGGCTGTCTCATTCCATGTCTCTATGTGTATAGGGATGTTTGACTCAGCCTAGCGTGCTGCTAACATTCCACATTGTGGTGTCATTGTAAGCTTGTCGCTTACAGACCCATTGTCTGCAGTGTTGTTCAGCCACTGTCTACCAACTAGTGTAAAATGTCATCTGTAATCATATCACATTACCATTACAGTGCTGTGCTTCCAAATGGCACCCACCCATCCCTGCCACTGCTTTAAGAGCATTGCTCTTTCAAATGGCTACGGCTAATGCTGATATGCTCTGGCGCAGAGGAATTCACATAGGCTGAGATTAGCCTTAGCATGCAGCCAAACGCCACTCTGAGGAAAGCTGATATGGATAATCCTTAGCATTTGCATGCTTGCCTATGATGTAAGGGTGTATGTGTGTGTGTGTGTGCTTGCGTGGGTGTGTGTGTGCGTGTCTGTGAGTACTGTCAGTGTCTCATAGAGATTCATAGAGAGTTTGCCAACAGTGGATGTCAGACGGGTGAGAAGAATGTCATAAGGCAATGTTCTGCGTCATGGCACTGTTGTGTTGTGCCTGAAGGCCTGCTACTGTACTTCACTGGCAGTGTGTCACATGATGCAGGGCTGAGGCTTTTGGAAATAGTGGAAGCAAATAGAATTGGGAATGTCTTTGCTCTTTTGTCCTTTTGTCCTTTTGTCCTCGCAAACACACACACATACATACAGTACAAATGTCAGACAAACCTCTAGCCATACCATTGAGATTCCTTTGTGTGCCACTGAATGTCATTGCTCATTTGTCCAGTATATCCATGTGACACACACACACACACACACGTCAGAAGAACCTCCAGTCATACCAGTAAAGCTCTTTTGTGTGTTGGGTTAGTAGGTTACTGTATGTGTCTGTGAGCGAAGCAAAGCCTGTTAGTCAGTCAGTGTTAGTGTGTGTTGTTGTGTTTTAGTGCCATATTATAGTGTAACAGGCCTAACCAGGGCTCTGAACATAATCTATATTCACCCTCCACCAGAGGAGAGGGCTGCCAAGCAAGCACCAAACACCACCCATCTCTCTTTCTCTCTAACCTTCTCTCTCTCCCTTTCTCTTTCTCTCTCCCTCTCTCTTTCTCTCTCCCTCTCTCTTTCTCTCTCTCCCTCTTTCTTTCTTTCTCTCTCTCTTTCTCTCCCTCTCTCTCTCCTGTAATTGTCTCCCTCATTCTTGCTTTCCTTCTCTGTTTCTCTAACTCTGTCTATCCCGTGTCTGTCTCACTTATTCTGTGTCTCTGTCCTTCTCTGCCCCCTTCTCTCCCTCTCTGCCTGTCTGTCTGTATAACAGGGGATGCTCTGATTAGTATTGAGATAATCTGTGGGATTAAGCCGCTGAGAGTCAGTCAGTGTAAATGAAGAGCTTTTAGCCTGCATTTGCTCTACCATTGCTACACAGGCTCATTAGTTGTATTTACCATGCTTTAAGAGATGTTAGATAATATATAGGCTGTGTTCACTGATCTTTAACATGGAGATGAGAAGAGTGAGAGCACATTAAGATGATGTATGTAACAATGGGAGAGATCAGACAGGGGCCAGAATTATATAATGATCTAATAGGTTATAGGTGTGATTAACACTCTGAGTGCCAGAATTCCATAACTACTAGAATGGCCATGATGGTCATTCTGACCACTGATATTTCAATTGTATAAATATTCCATAATAAATAATTAATTGCTAAATGAATGCATGTATTATGTTAAAATATGTATATAAGATACCTCAGGACACCAAATGCAAATTAGAAAATGTATTGATTGATCCAGAAGCACATAGACTGTAAATACTAAAATAAGATTATAGTGTATTCTCTGACTGTAAGACAACAGTTGCCCGCCCAGCTTGTCCGTCCAAACAACACCTAAACTATATTGAAACTAATTTCACACATCATAATAATAATAATAATAATAATAGATGTGGCCTAAAACAAAATTGAATTAACCACAGACCACGTGTAACCACGTCAGCCCAGAACCTCCACATCTGGCTTCTTCACCTGCGGGATCGTCTGAGACCAGCCACCTGGACAGCTGAAGAATTTCTGCACAAACTGTCAGAAACCGTCTCAGGGAAGCTCATCTGTGTGCTTGTCTTGACCTGACTGCAGTTCGGTGTCGTAACCAACTTCAGTGGGCAAATGCTCACCTTCGATGGCCACTGGCACACTGGAGAACTGTGTTCTTCACGGATTAATCCCGGTTTCAACTGTACTGGGCAGATTGCAGATGGCGTTTTGTGGGCGAGCAGTTTGCTGATGTCAACAGAGTGCCTCATGGTGGGGATATGGTATGGGCAGGCATAAGCTACAGGCAACAAACACAATTGCATTTTATCAATGGCAATTTGAATGCACAGAGATACCGTGATGAGATCCTGAAGCCCATTGTCGTGCCATTCATCCGCCGCCAACACCTCATGTTTCAGCATGATAATGCACGGCCCCATGTCACAAGGATCTGTACACAATTCCTGGAAGCTGAAAATGTCCCAGTTCTTCCATGGCCTGCATACTTACCAGACATGTCACCCTTTGAGCATGTTTGGGATGCTCTGGATCGACATGTACAACAGCGTGTTCCAGTTCCTGCCAATATCCAGCAACTTCGCACAGCCATTGAAGAGGGGTGGGACAACATTCCACAGGCCACAATCAACAGCCTGATCAACTTTATGCGAAGGAGATGTGTTGCGATACATTTACATTTGAGTAATTTAGCAGACTCTCTTATCCAGAGCGATTTACAGTAGTGACTGCATACATTTTAATTTGTACTGGTCCCCCGTGGGAATCGAACCCACAACCCTGGTGTTGCAAGTGCCATGCTCTACCAACTGAGCCACGTGGGACCATCATACATTAGGCAAATGGTGGTCACACCAGATACTGACTGGTTTTCTGATCCACGCCCCTACTTTTTTTTTAAAGGTATCTGTGACCGACCGATGCATATCTGTATTCCCAGTCATGTGAAATCCATAGATTATGGCCTAATGAATTTATTTAAATTGACTGATTTCCTTATATGAACTGTAACTCAGTAAAATCTTGTTGCATGTTGTTTATATTTTTGTTCAGTGTATAATCTCAAAACAGTGTACCCTATATCAGTCCACCAAATCCAAGCAGTTGTATTAGTCTACTCTAGGCCTACTTGGAGTAGGCTACACAGTGAGAGCGTGTGTAATTTACAATGGCAAGACCAAGACGAATGGATGCACAAGCTGCGTTAGCTTTGCTACAAGATGAAAACGACTCAGATGGTGGGGAAGAGTAGATCGTGACATCTCTGATGATTATTATTCTGATTCATGCTGAATGGCTTTCTATATCTGGGAAAGGATCCATATCAGGCAGCAGGTGAGCAAGTGTCAGATAATGTTTTGGATCAGATGGCACGGCTGTACTAGGTGAAAGGATGAACTCACCACTGGCCTGTTGCTGTGTTCTACATAGCCACAACATGCATGACTTGGCTGCTATCAACGCACACGCGTTGTTCAAGCAGTGCATGAACAACACCCATGAGCAGGAGGGAATAGAATAGAATAAAACTTTATTGTCCATCCAGGATGGACATTTTTCTTTGGCATCACCTTACATCAAAAGGATCACATACACATACATTCTCACATCATACGCATTTGTCACGGATTCTGCCGAGGCTGCTCCTCCTCCTTGCTCGGGCAGGCTTTGGCGTTCGTCGTCCCCGGAGTACTAGCTACTGCCGATCGATGTTTCGGTGTTTGTCTTGTTTTGTCTGGAGTAGTACACCTGTTGTCCATTATGTTTGATTGTTTAGCCTATAATTTCCCTTGTCTCACGTTTGCTATTTGTGTGTTATTGTTGTATGTCTAAGTCGATGTTCGGCCTTGCTATTTTTCCATATTACGTATATGGTGTTTTTCCCTCCAGTTGTGGGCGTTTGTTTTGCACTTTACATTGAGTAAAGTAGTCTACCTGAATCTCTGTGTCCTGCGTCTGACTTCACTCGCCACGTACACATCACCTTCTGACAGAATAACACACCTTCATGGAGTCAGCAGGATCAGCGGTACCGACGGGGTCATTGGAGGAGCGCGTAAGCAGCCAAGACGCCATGATCCAGAGACTCGGCACCGCCATGCAGGATGTAATGGACACTTTGAGCCGATGGGAAAGAGGAGGTTTGCCCACACCTCCTCCAACAATACCACCACCATCGGCCAGACCCATCGTTCCATCTCCGGAGTCCAGTGGGATTCGGCTCTCGCTCCCGAGGGCTTATGATGGCACCGCGGCCGGGTGTCAGGGTTTCTGCTCCAAGTAGAACTCTACCTGGCAACCATTCACCCGGCCCCCTCGGGATACGAGAGCGTTTCCGCCCTCATCTCCTGTCTGTCCGGCAAGGCATTGGAGTGGGCCAATGCCGAATGGAGGGGAATAGACGCCGCCACCGTCAGTTATGCGGAGTTCTCCCGCCGCTTCAGGGCGGTTTTCGATCATCCCCCAGAGGGGAAAGCGGCGGGGGAGCGTCTGTTCCACCTCAGACAGGGGAAGAGGAGCGCGCAGGAATTCGCACTGGATTTCCGGACTCTGGCGGCCAATGCGGGATGGAATGAGAGGGCCCTCATCGACCACTATAGGTGCAGCCTACGGGAGGACGTTCGCCGAGAGTTGGCCTGCAGGGACACCAACTTAAGCTTCGATCAGTTGGTGGACATGTCGATCCGTCTGGATACCCTGCTGGCTACCCGCGGACGTCCGGAGCTGGGGCCGTCCATTCCATCCCCCAGCACCTCCGAGCCGAGCCCTATGGAGCTCGGAGGTGCTGGTGCTAGAGAGAGGAGGAGAGAGACCCGGAGAGAGGCCGTCCCCTGCACCAACTGTGGCCGTAGAGGACACACTGCGGTTCGGTGCTGGGGAGGGTCTCCTAGGGATCGAGGCAGCAGGTCACGCACTGATGAGTCAATCCAGGTGAGTACGCGCCCAACTCACCCAGAGCTCTCTGTTGTCCACTTGTGTATCCAAGTTGTGTTTCCCCAGGTTTCTTCTCACTCCCAGCATAAGGCGCTAGTCGATTCAGGCGCAGCTGGGAATTTTATTGATCGTAGTTTCTGTTATAGGTTAGGGATTCCCCTCATACCAGTTGATGTGCCCTTCCCTATCCATGCCCTAGACAGCCGCCCTTTGGGGTCGGGATTGATTAGGGAGGTCACGGCGCCACTTAAGATGAAGACGCAGGGGGGTCATGAGGAAATTATACAATTGTATTTGATCGACTCTCCTGCGTTTCCCGTGGTGTTGGGGCTTCCTTGGTTAACTACTCATGACCCCAACATTTCGTGGCAACAGAGGGCTCTCAGGGAGTGGTCTGATCAGTGTGTCGGGCGGTGTATAGGTGTTTCCTTAGGGGCGACAACGGTGGAAAGTCCGAACCAAATGCCCGCACTGCACATTCCTCCTGAGTATAATGATTTGGCACTCGTCTTCAGTAAGAAGAGGGCGACTCAATTACCACCTCATAGACAGGGGGATTGTGCGATAGACCTCCAGGCAGGCGCTGCACTTCCGCGTAGTCATGTGTATCCTCTGTCTCAAGAGGAGACGGCGGCTATGGAGACATACATCGCCGAATCTCTGGGACAGGGATACATACGGCCCTCCACTTCTCCTGCGTCCTCGAGTTTCTTTTTTGTGAAGAAGAAAGATGGAGGTTTGCGCCCGTGTATTGATTACCGTAGTCTCAATCAGATTACCATTAAATACAGTTATCCTCTCCCTCTGATTGCTCAACTGTGCCTGTGGTCAACCAATTACTTTGCTGGCTGTGTTTACTATTCTGGTCAGTTTGCTTTTGCTCCCCACCCTCAGATTACCATACCAGACTGTCATATTGAACGTGAGGATGCTCTCCACCCTCAGACTACCATACCAGACTGTCATATTGAACGTGAGGATGCTCTCCACCCTCAGACTACCATACCAGAATGTCATATTGAACGTGAGGATGCTCTCCACCAAGCTGCTGTACACCCTCTCCAGAACATCCTGGCTGACCCCAAACCCCTTCAATTTCCTGATTAAAAACAGGCGCTGGCTTGCTTTAAAAATAATACAGTCTGCATTTTCTGTAAAACTCAGCATGTTATCAATTTGTGTCCCTAAGTATTTGAAACACTCAACAACCTCCACTTGTTGGTCATTCAGAGAGTGTGGTTGGGACATTGGCAAGTTGTTGCCATTGATGATCAGCTCTTTAAAAAAAAAAATTCACATTGATGTGGAGGGTACTTGACCGGCATCATTCTTGAAGGTTGTTGGTCTGTTTAAAATGACGTAGCATTCTTAAAAAAGAGTCCCACCAGAACCATGTCATCCTCATACTTGAAAGGGCTCACATTGTTTCTTTGGATCTTCATCTCATTAGTGTAGATAGAGAGCAACAACGGTGAAAGGACACACCCCTGTGTTCAGGGTCAGTTCATCAGAGAGGGCCCCATTCATGAGGACCCTCTATGTGCCTTCATCATAAGTCTGTCACATGGGCTACATGAGAGAGGGCCAAGACTCCCGAGTGGTGCAGCGGTCTAAGGCACTGCATCTCAGTGCTTGAGGCGTCACTACAGACCACCTGGTTCGATTCCAGGCTGTATCACAACCGGCCGTGATTGGGAGTCCCATAGGGCGGCGCACAATTGGCCCAGCGTCGTCCGGGTTTGGCCGGTGTAGGCCATCATTGTAAATAAGAATTTGTTCTTAACTGACTTGCCTAGTAATATAAAGGTCAAATAAAAAGGCAGTAGCAAAGATTCCACGCGAGCCATTGCGCAAGCCAAATTGCGCACAGCTCCCAGGGAGGAAAAACTGCAAGGTGGGCAGATGCACTCGGAACAGAACCAGACACCTGTTTCAGCTGCAAGCGACTTGTTTGTGGGAAGTGTTGCAATCAAGTGAAGGTGATGAAGATTTGTGATGACTGTTAGGACAAGGGATAACAGCTAAATGAAATCCAACTGTTGTGTGAAGACTCACACCATACTGTAAACACGAGTGAGGCCACAAATAATGTGTCCAATAACTGACAATAATAGACTATTTTAGACGGCTCTCATACAGTATCAACACTTATTTTCATTATAATGCAGTTTGGGTATTTTTATTTGTTTTGTTGTTTATAAAAAATAAGATTTTACTGTGTTTCAATGCACATTATTTTTGTTTCATAGTTATAACAAAGTCACTCCACCAATAAAATAGATTTTACACTTGAAATTCCGTTTTTGGTGCTTTTTCGTTTTTACAAATAGCCTACACAGTAACATGAACTAATGAAAATGTTATGTTCTTTCAAATATTTACATTTTGGTATTCTAATGTTACCTAACACCTTCATAAACACAACCAAATGACATTGGCACGAAGGGGGGTCCAATGAGGCCTGGCTTTTCTAGTTAAATTGATTTATTTTTAGACTGGTGGCTATTGGTACTCCTCAAGGCCCGGCTATTCTACTGTTAAATATGCATACGGTTAAATGAGGATAAAATGCTAAAAGTTTTTGTCTTTTATGATATTTGTCTGAAAGTACTGCTACAGTTTAAAATGCACATATTTAGGAAAAGTCGGGGACAGGTAGGGTCAAGGTGTTTATTGAAATTGGTCAGATTGACCATCTTGGCAGTTCTAGTGTTAAGATTATTTTAAAACAGCTGCCCCTTCTGTGACATCACTCTCTCAAATAGGGGTCACCAGGTTTATGTTTGTCTCCACTCTGTCGCTCTCTCCATCGTTCTCCCCTTCTCTCTCTCTAACATTTTGTCTCTTTCTCACCCCCTCTCTCGTTCACATTTTAGTCATTTAGCAGACGCTCTTATCCAGAGCGACTTACAGTTAGTGAGTGCTTACATTTTTTTTTCTTTCATACTGGCCCCCTGTGGGAATCAAACCCACAACCCTGCCGTTGCAAGCGCCATGCTCTACCAACTGAGCTACACGGGACTACACCCCCTCACTCATCTCCTGTTTGGCAAAGTTGAATTAAAGGAAGGGGGATGATGGTGTGTAGGCCAGAACAGTGAACCACAGAGGGTTATTAAGCGGCCTTTACTCAGCAATCACAATGAGGATTTCTCCCACCCACCCTCCCTTCCTCTTTCTGTCCTGGTCTCTAGCAGTGTAATTTCCTAATGGCACGTCAGGTGGTGTGTCCATCTGGCAGAGGGATGAAGTTTTAGGGGTGTCGTGTGGGTAAGTGTTTGTGATCTGACAGAAGAAGGGGGCTAAAGTATAACAATTTACTTCTCATAGATTGGAATACAAAGACACACACACACACTGTTCCCAGCTCCTTACCAGAGAGCGAGCGAGAAATAATAAATAGCTGAATAACTGACAGTAAGAGAAATGCTCTCTTCAGCAGACAGGTCTTTAATCAGTCTCTCGCTGTGCTCCTTCCTCCTCAGGCACATTTATGTTAATCTCCATCCTGAGCAGGGAAAGGAGATTTGACTCTAATTTGCAATGATAGACCTGCATAACATCAGCCTTATTGTGATTCAGATGCCTGTGTGTGTGTGTGTGTGTGTTTGTATGTGTGTGTGCGCATCTGTGTCATCCCTACCTGGTCATGATGAGCAGTCTGACTGTGTAAGGTCATACTCTATGTGGATCAGTGGGGAGCTGAAAGCCTGTCACAATAACACAGAACCCCAGGAAAACCAAAGGCCTCTTTAAATAGGATTTCATGGGATTTAGTCAGTGTATCTCCAGTCTGTCTGTCTTTGTGTGTAGCAGAGACAGAGAATGGAATAAAACCAGCATTTATGTGTATCTATCTACCAGTGTGGATTTGTCACTTTGGTTTGTCTCTCACATCCCTTCCCTCCACAAAGAGTGTTTCTGTCATTATCAAACGTCTGTTTTCACTCTCTTCCTCTCTCTCTCCCTTCCTCAGCCTCTCTTCTCTGGATGTGTCTGTGCTATCAGTCAGAGGCGATCAACCATATGCTAAGTTTTAATCTTTTTGATCTCTTCTCTCTCCTTCTCTCTCTCCTTCTCTCTCTCCTTCTCTATCTCCTTCTCTCTGTCCTTTCCCTCTCTTTATCTCCCTCCCCTCTCTCTGTTAGGATGATAACTGGGGGGAAACCACCACGGCGGTGACTGGCACCTCAGAGCTCAGCCTATCCCAGGAGGAGGTGGTTGGTCTGGGGAAGGGGTCGGAGGACGGCCTGAGGCAGGGCTGTCGGCGCTACGCTCCCCTAGCTCTGGGCCTCTGTGTGGGGCTACTGGTCCTGGCCACCCCCCTGGCCTTCCTGGTCCTCCCGGCGGTGCTGTGGCCGGCCAGGCTGCAGGCCTGTGGCTCAGCCTGCGAGGGCCTCTTCCTCTCTGTGTCCTGTAAACTCCTCATCCTCCTGCTAGCTGTGTGGGCTATCTTCCTGCGCCAGGCCCATGCTAGCCTGCCCAGGGTGTGCGTGTACCGAGCGCTCCTGGCCATACTCACACTGCTGCTCACACTCTCCTACTGGCTGTTCTACGGGGTCCGCATCCTCGACTCACAGGTGTGTATGTTTCATAATCATGTGTGCGTACGTGTGTCTGTCTATCCGTATATGTACGTGTGTGTGCATGCAACTTGCAAGCACGTGTGTGTGTGTGTGTTAACCCTGTGTTTCCAGGATGAGGACTACCAGGGTATCGTCCAGTTTGCTGTGTCTCTGGTGGACTCTCTGCTGTTTGTCCACTACCTGGCCATCGTACTGCTGGAGCTCAGACAGCTCCAGTCCTGCTACAGCCTGTGTGTTATACGCTCCACTGACGGAGAGACACGCTACTACAACCTGGGACAGCTCAGGTAATACACATACACATAGAAACACACTCACAGACACACAGACACACACTGAAAACTGACTGAAATATGATGTAGAGAAATTCAATCATTTCATAAGCATCTTAACATATTATAAAAAGCGAATCCATGCTGCTATAATCTCTTGATAAAATGGTGCAGCTGACTGTAGCAAAGTCATGGTTCTCCCAGCATTATGAACTCACTCTGTATACAACAGTGGAACCTCAGGGATCTGGCTGGTGTACTTATTGTGGCCCTGATGAACTGAGTAACCCTGTTGTGTCCACTATTGCCACTTAGCAGAAGCCAGTCAGCTGATCAATCAGCTAGCAGAAACATTTACAGATAATCAGACTATTAGAGAATGTCTTTAGAATGCCCCCACCCATACACACCCATACACACACTGTTGAACTGTGGGTAATTGGAGACTCATGTCCAGGGGGAAGCGTGGCAGTAATTTAGTTACTAAATCACCTTTCGCTCTGGGGGGCTGTTCTGGGAATTGGGAAAGGGGGTGCTTTGATTGATTATGATGAATTCTCCCTCTAGTAACTGATCTAAGGTCAGTTTTGTGTTTTTCCCTCTAACGGTTAAGGTTTGGATTTGTGGAAGACAAACTGATCCTAGATCTGTGCCTTAGGACAACTTATACCCAGAGCTGTGCTGGGTGATTCCTCACGAAACTAGAACAAAACAACATCATGATTTTTGGGATTTTCACAAAATGTAATCCATAGAAGGATCCTTTGGAGGAAGGATTTGTATTTTATTTTTGTATTTTATTATTATTATTTGTTCAATCAATAGGCAGAATAAACAGCAGTGGTCAAATGACAAATGCTTTGTCAGCGCAACCCAAAATAAAACCCACTCCATGGATTGTTGACATATATTTGAATTGAGACAATTCATTGAAGTTGAAATATTTATGACATTTAGGCCTTACCCAGGCCTTTAAGACTCCATAATGTTTAATCTGGTAGGTGCTACAAATCAATAGTTGGTGTCATATGGCTTGTACTTTATGAGTAGTATTTTTATTTCAACCAAAAAAAAAAATGAATATCGAAAAATGTAAACATGAATATTGAAAATATACCATATATTTTTGAACATAATATACTCTACTGACATATCAAAGTTCCAGAGTGGGATTTCTGCTAGTTTTAAAAATTATGGCCATTTTATACAGATACAGTGGGGGAAAAAAGTATTTAGTCAGCCACCAATTGTGCAAGTTCTCCCACTTAAAAAGATGAGAGAGGCCTGTAATTTTCATCATAGGTACACGTCAACTATGACAGACAAAATGAGGAAAAAAAATCCAGAATATCACATTGTAGGATTTTTTATGAATTTATTTGCAAATTATGGTGGAAAATATGTATTTGGTCACCTACAAACAAGCAATATTTCTGGCTCTCACAGACCTGTAACTTCCTCTTTAAGAGGCTCCTCTGTCCTCCACTCGTTACCTGTATTAATGGCACCTGTTTGAACTTGTTATCAGTATAAAAGACACCTGTCCACAACCTCAAACAGTCACACTCCAAGCTCCACTATGGCCAAGACCAAAGAGCTGTCAAAGGACACCAGAAACAAAATTGTAGACCTGCACCAGGCTGGGAAGACTGAATCTGCAATAGGTAAGCAGCTTGGTTTGAAGAAATCAACTGTGGGAGCAATTATTAGGAAATGGAAGACATACAAGACCACTGATAATCTCCCTCGATCTGGGGCTCCACGCAAGATCTCACCCCGTGGGGTCAAAATGATCACAAGAACGGTGAGCAAAAATCCCAGAACCACACGGGGGGACCTAGTGAATGACCTGCAGAGAGCTGGGACCAAAGTAACAAAGCCTACCATCAGTAACACACTACGCCGCCAGGGACTGGCAGTGCCAGACGTGTCCCCCTGCTTAAGCCAGTACATGTCCAGGCCCGTCTGAAGTTTGCTAGAGTGCATTTGGATGATCCAGAAGAGGATTGGGAGAATGTCATATGGTCAGATGAAACCAAAATAGAACTTTTTGGTAAAAACTCAACTCGTCGTGTTTGAAGGACAAAGAATGCTGAGTTGCATCCAAAGAACACCATACCTACTGTGAAGCATGGGGGTGGAAACATCATGCTTTGGGGCTGTTTTTCTGCAAAGGGACCAGGACGACTGATCCGTGTAAAGGAAACAATGAATGGGGCCAGTAGTCTGGTCTGGGGGAGTAGTGTAGATATGAAGCATGCTGCTCAGCTATTTAACATGTGAATCAAATCAGCAAAGGCAGTAATGGACTACCTGCTTCTTTTCTGACCTCTGCCCTCCTCTTATGCCTTTATTGCCTTTTTTCTCTCCCTCCCCCTCGCTCTCCCTCCCCTCTCTTTCTCTCGCTCCCTCCCATCTCTTCGCCCCCTATCTCTCTCCCTCCCCCCTCTCTTTCCCTCCCCTCTCTTTCTCTCTCTCCCACCCTCTCTCTCCTCTCTCTCTCTCCCTCTCTCTCTCTCTCTCTCTCTCTCTCTCTCTCTCTCTCTCTCTCTCTCTCTCTCTCTCTCTCTCTCTCTCTCTCTCTGTGTCAGTATTCAGAGGGCAGCTTTGTCTCTGCTGGAGTTCTACTACAGGGACTTCCCTCTCCATAACCCTGCTCTTCTTTCCGCCTCCAAGCACCGTGCCGCCAAGCACCTGGCCGGCCTCAAGGTCTACACCGTGGACGGTTAGTACACCTACGGTTTCTCTATGGTTCCTCAATGTTTACATTTGGTTTGTGTCACTGTGTCGTCCGACTTCCTATCATCTCTCTTTTCCTCTTTGTAACTGCATCTTAATGTAAAACACTGTATGTCTTTCATTCGTTCTCTTTGTCACTCTGTCTCTCCATTCTCTCAGCTCTCTGTCTACTGTATTTGTTGCTTCGTTGTGATGCTCTCTCTTCATCTACTCTCCCATGCCACCCTAAGCAGCGTTTAAAGCTAAACTGAGAGCTTACCTTTTGGACAATGACAGTAAGTAAAGATTGGTAAAGATCTCTTATGTGGGCCCTCTCACATTTCACTAGTGTACACTACTAACCTCACTCCTCACTTCCCTTCCCCCACCCCCCAATGTTTGCACTGCTTCTATGCATGCACACACAGATACACACCAATCTAACCACCACTTTCATTCACCAGATATGCTTTACACACACACACACACACACGCACAGGCACCAACTTCCCCTGGAGGACTTGGGCCTTCCCAGCTCAGTGCGAGACAGCTTTTATGGTTCTTCTCTATGTTCTTTGTAGCAGAGTTTGATAGAGGAGTATGCTGGTACATTGTCCTCACAGAACCCTCCCTCCCCTCGTGTAAGTATGGGGTGGGTGAGGGGATGGGGGAGGCAGTGCATTTGCATTTCAGCCTTTTAATAATTAATCACAGTAGCTCCTTCTGCACATTCCCATGCTATCTCTCGGTCTTTCTCTGTCTCTCTCGGTCTTTCTCTGTCTCTCTCGGTCTTTCTCTGTCTCTGTCTTTCTCTGTCTGTCTCTCTCTCTGTCTCTGTCTTTCTCTGTCTTTCTCTGTCTCTCTCTGTCTCTCTCTGTCTCTCTCTGTCTTTCTTCTGTCTCTCTGTCTCTCTCGGTCTCTCTCAGTCTCTCTCGTCTCTCTCTGTCTCTCTCGGTCTCTCTCGGTCTCTCTCGGCCTCTCTCTGTCTCTCTCTGTCTCTCTCTGTCTCTCTCTCTCTACTCCTCGTTCTCACGTTCACTCTCTCGCTCCCTCTCTCTCTCTTTCTCTCTCTCTCTCTCCCTCTGTATTTCGTACACCTTTTCTCAGTGTGTTCTCCAGTCAAGTCAGCAGTTGAAGTGTTTCTGTAGGCTAGCAGAGTGGGTCTTAAGGGTTACTAGTGTTTTTAACCAGCCCACATCTTTCCGCTCCAGATCTGCTCTAATGGAACTCACTCATATTTATTTGGGGGGATTTAGAAAAAATAGGAATGCAATGCATTTCATGAAACATTTATTTCTCAATCGGAAAAAGGCTGTGCTACCAAGCCTGTGCTTTGTTCAGCCTCACACACACACACACACACACACACACACACACACACACACACACACACCACACACACACACACACACATACATACATACATACATACACACACACTCACACACCTTTGTGTTAATGATTCATCGATAAATCTCTCTTGGCCTGTGTCTGCCGGGGTTACTGTACTGAACTCTCCTCATACCCACATATCCCTCATAAATATGGACCAGATTCCACTACTCCATATTCATATCCCACAGGAACCCTAATTTATGTTTTTACTACTTCTGGGTTAGTTATTGGTATTCATCATAGAGAGAAATGAGTTATATGATCAAACAGGTAATATTGTCTTTGAAGATCGTGATGTTTTTATATTATGAATATTTACTAGCCTGGTAGCCAGATGTGTTCATTTCTGCTTTAGCCAACTCTGTTTTAATTTGGCAGTTGTCTAAACCATAGTCAGGTCTACCAGGTTAAATATTTCATCACTCTCACAGTGAAAGGATCTGAATTGTGAAACTGCCTAATGAGATATTTAGATGTTACACAGAATCCACACTAAGATCTGTGTTTTCCCCGGGTTACTGTCAATATGCTGATTGGGCCACACAGTGATCTTCCCATCATGCCTCTGTGCTTCCTGTTTGTAGGCCCAGGGAACCTGGCGGGGCCAGCTGGGGGGTCGGGGGGATCGCAGGTGGGGGGTCATTCGCGGGCCATGATCTCTGCAGCAGCCAGGCGCAGAGACGCCACTCACAACGAACTATACTACGAGGAGGCCGACCACGACCGACGGGTCCGCAAACGCAGAGCCAGGTGAAAGAGAAAGAGAGGGGAGGGGAGGAGAGAGGTAGGGGGAGGGGGGACTCTGAGTGACTTAAAAACAGAAAGGTGGGGTGAAAGGAAAGGAAGAAAGAGAGATGAAAGATAAAAAAAGTATGCTGCTTAATGGAAGGATTAAAATATAGATGAGGGTTTAGATAGATGGACATAAGAATTGAGTAGGCTACAGTAGGTGAAATGTTGGCCTGTGTGTTTTTATAACGTGTAGGATGCAAGAACAGATGAGTGTACAGGATACTGAATGTTGTCTGTACATTGCTGTAACGTTAGGCTGGTGGTGGCTGTGGAGGAGGCCTTCATGCATGTGAGGCGGATGCAGCAGGAGGAGCAGAAAGCGTCCCCCGGGGATGTGATGGACGTACGGGAGGCGGCCCTGGCCATCTTCCCCTCCATGGCCCGCGCCCTGCAGAAATACCTCCGAACCACCAGGAGGCAGCACTGCCACAGTATGGACAGCATCCAGAGACACCTGGCCTTCTGCCTCACACACAACATGAGCCCCAAGGTAGGCAAGCTTCAACTACTCGGCCCCAGCTCATCCCCCAGCCAGTATCACTACTAGACACCTCTTAGTCTTGGCCCAACGTGACAATAGCACCTCTATAGCAATATGATTGTGTGTCTGTCTGTCTCTGTGTCTCTTCAGGCATTCCTGGAGGCCTACCTGTCCCCTGGTCCTACGCTGCAGTACGGTCGAGAGCGCTGGATGGCCAGTCAGTGGACTCTTGTCAGCGAGGCTGCGGTCACTAGCGGTCTAAAGGAGGACACTGTCTTCTCACTGAGGTGTCTAGACTTCAGCCTAGCGGTAACGGTTAAGTCCATCCCCTACATTCAAATGACCGAGGAGTATGTCGATCCTAAGTCACACAAGTTTACCCTGAGTCTCCAATCTGAAACATCAGTCTAACAGACACTTCTAGACGTACCATTTTGGTTTCTTTTTTGTGTTCAGTTTCTTAAACCCTATTTTACTTTGATATGTTCTTGTTGTGGTATTTTGCATCTCTCTTCAATTATTTATATTACTGGTTTATAAAGATTATTTTGGCTACTTTTGGATTTGTTATTTTACGTAATTGATATGAACAGATGCAAATGGGATATTGTAACAAGATGAAGTGTTAGCTGGGCATAGTTAATAAACAGTATGGACCCCCAGCCATATGGCTCTTTTGGAGTGAAGATGACCGATTGCGAGAGTTGGGAAATATGCTCTGATTTCTATTGTCCTGAGGCGCACTAGAACATTGAATTATGTCAGGGGTTTTTCTATACACTGTAGATGACCCCTCCCGCATTTTTGTTCTCCCTCTGTGTGTTTGCACGTGTCTGTGTGTTTGCACGTGTCTGTGTGCGCGTGTGTGTGTGGGGGGGGGGGGGGGTGTCTTTTTATTGTCTGCCCTGCTAATATGAATGAAATACTACCTAATAATCACCAAAACAGTTCAGGTTCAGTTTTATCAAACTAAAAACAGTTTTTCTTTACCGTCAATGGATTGTACGTGTGTTTGTATATATAATGTATTGTGTTTTTATTTAAACATGTTTCTATTTTATTTGATTGATACTTTTCTACCTTGTCTGGCTGTCCAGGTATGGAATTATATTGATGAAAAAGGTTCTGTTATTGTACTCCCCAGGATTCCTAGACATATCTGTAAGAGGTTGTCAGAATCTGTTGGGCACAAATTGAAAGTGGACTATTGCTAAAGTTGAGCAAAGGAGACAGAGAGAGACAGAGAGAGACAGAGAGAGACGAGAGAGAAGAGAGAGAGAGAGAGAGAGAGAGAGAGAGAGAGAGAGAGGAGAGAGAAGGAGAGAGAGAGAGAGAGAGAGAGAGAGAGAGAGAGAGAGAGAGAAATGACAAGACATATGCATTCGATGTGTCTCTTATCTCCAGATGAAAGAAAGCTGTTATTACATTTCTACAGAACCTAACCCTGTAAGCTAAGAGAAACAGATTGAAGCTAGAGTTTTTCGCCTTCAGATATGAGAAGACAACAGATTAAAGACGGATGCCACTATTCTCTCTTTTAGTCCCCATTTTATGGGAGTTTGAGAAGTGTGAAGAAAACACACAAAGAGAAGTACCTCTAGTAATGTTTTTTGTTCCAGACATGACTGACTGATCTGATACCGTAGCTTCTCCTCTACTGTCTCCTTGCTCCTGTAAGTCGCTCTGGATAAGAGCGTCTGCTAAATGACTAAAATGTAAAAATGTAAATGTAAGTCTGCATACACGTATCCTCATGTACTGAAAGTGATTCCAGTAGGCCCAAATTATACATTTCTAAAGTATTTTTTAAGTTCATGTTTGATATGGTATAAGCCTCAGTATTGATGTGCAGAGTGCAGACAGCAGTCTCCTTATAGTGAGGGAAGTCTAGTCACAACAGAGGCTGTAGTGCCATCTAGCCACAGCTAGTACAACTGCCACAGCTATGGGATTTTTATACTCATCTCAATATTTATTTATTTTAATATTGTATTGTTTTAGCCAAATCTTCCGTATTACATGTGCATATTATTCAAGCCTATATTAGAATGAAATTGTTTTATTGTAATTGTACAATCATTGTTGTCACTAAAAAGTGAAATGTTTTTGAGGATTTTATAGTGATTAAATCATGGCTGTGAATATTGGCCTTGTTTGAATACTGTTCGAATTCACCCTTTATTCCTTGTTATCTTGAGGTAGTCACAGGTTATAAGTGTTGGATAGGTTAAAGCAAGGTTGCCAACCAATTGCTTTCCCTAATCTAACCAATTCAGATATGTGACTACTTCAAGGAAGGGAGGATGTATTCTTAAAGTTTTCGACCAGGGCATTTGTCTCCTTGTATGCCTCCTTCATTACAAAGGTGCCTCTGTTTTAGAACAAATACACTACCAGTCAAAAGTTTTAGAACACCTACTCATTTCAAGGGTTTTTATTTGGTTTTACTATTTTCTACATTGCAGAATAATAGTGAAGATATACAACATATATGGAATCATGTAATAATCATAAAAGTGTTAAACAAATCAAAATATATTTTATATTTGAGATTCTTCAAATAGCCACCCTTTGCCTTGATGACAGCTTTGCACACTCTTGGCATTCTCTCAACCAGCTTCACCTGGAATGCTTTTCCAACAGTCTTGAAGGAGTTCCCACATATGCTGAGCACTTGTTGGCTGCTTTTCCTTCACTCTGCCGTCCGACTCATCCCAAACCATCTCCGTTTGGTTGAGGTCGGGGGATTGTAAATTCTAAATGAATCACAGACAGTGTCACCAGCAAAGCACCCCCACACCATAACACCACCTCCTCCATGCTTTACGGTGGGAAATACACATGCAGAGATAATCCGTTCACCCACACCGCATCGCACAAAGACACGGCGGTTGGAACCAAAAATCTCCAATTTGGACCAGACCAAAGGACACATTTCCACCGGTCTAATGTCCATTGCTCGTGTTTCTTGGCCCAAGCAAGTCTCTTCTTATTATTGGTGTCCTTTAGTAGTGGTTTCTTTGCAGCAATTCGACCATGAATGCCTGATTCACACAGTCTCCTCTGAATAGTTGATGTTGAGATGTGTCTGTTACTTGAACTCTGTGAAGCATTTATTTGGGCTGCAATTTCTGAGGCTGGTAACTCTAATGAACTTATCCTCTGCAGCAGAGGTAACTCTGGGTCTTCCATTCCTGTGGCGGTCCTCATGAGAGCCAGTTTCATCATAGTGCTTGATGGTTTTTGCGACTGCACAAAGATCTTGAAATGTTCCGTATTGACTGACCTTCATGTCTTAAAGTAATGATGGACTGTTGTTTATCTTTCCTTGAATGAGCTAAATAGGTCTATCTTCTGTATGCCCCCCTACCTTGTCACAACACAACTGATTGGCTCAAACACCTTAAGAAAGAAAGAAATTCCACAAATTAACTTTTAAGAAGGCACACCTGTTAATTGAAATGCATTCCAGGTGACTACCTCATGAAGCTGGTTGAGAGAATGTCAAGAGTGTGCAAAGCTGTCATCAAGGCAAAGGGTGGCTATTGATTCCATATGTGTTATTTCATAGTTTTGATTATTCTACAATGTAGAAAATAGTCAAATTAAAGAAAAACCCTTGAATGAGTAGGTGTTCTAAAACTTTTGACCGGTAGTGTATGATGTATGCTCAATGTGTTTGTGTTATTGTATGCAAGTATGTTCGTCCAATAATGTATGGTGTGTGTGCAATTGCCATCCTAAATGTTGTTCTGACCAATTCATTCTCAAGTTTTCACTGATTGCTTTTTTAAGATTTACAGATATGGAATTACAATAACTGTATAAAGATTCACATTTGTAAAGTAAATATTTGTATTAACATTTTCAACATATTCATGACTTTATTTTGGGAACGCGTGTGTGTGTGGTGCTTTGTATTTGTCTGTGCACTAGAAAGTATGTAAGTGAGACTATTGGGTGAGAGAGTGTCTGTGTCTGCACTGTCCAGTTGAAGACAGAGAGAGTTAGTGGTTGTAATATGAAGGTTGAGTAGACAGTGAGTTAATAAGCGACAGTGATCCCCCTTCACCCTACTGTACCCTACAGAACACAAAGATCTCTCTCCTGCCACTTCAAATATTCTCTCATCTAATTGCCCACTGAGGTAGAGCGAGAACAAGGGATGAGTCAAGGAGGGAAAGAGACAGAAAGATAAAGAGAGAGTGAAACATGGAGAGAGAATACATGAGAGAAACTGAGGCTTGAGGAATTGGCATTCAAATAGGCTTTTCCTATCTGGGTGTGATGATGTTCTAGCTTTGCAGCTGCTGCATATTTGGATAAATATTAATAAATATTGTGAGATGGAGAGGGGAAAAAGAGTTGTGGAAATTGCACGGTGTGAATTTTTTACATTTAAGTGCTTTAGCAGACTCTCATCCAGAGCTTCTTACCGTAGTGAGTGCATACATTTCCCCCCATGGGAAATGAACCCACAACCCTGGCATTGCAAGCACCATGCTCTACCAACTGAGCCACATGGGACCCAATGGTAATAATAAAGATATAGCCCCTGTGGCATGGAGAGAAGGGAGTGTGTGCACTGAAATCCAGAAAGTCAAACCTAAAATACAATTATCTACACACAAAGCATGTATTAGAGGGCATGGTTTAGTGACTGAAAAACACACACTTTATTGAGGTTTAGGATAGTGTACAGCAGCAGTTCATTGATCAAACAAAAGTTAGATTTATGTCTTTGTCTTGGTCGCGAACCATTTTCATAAATTAGTAGTATTAAGGGAAGGATGGAAAGTACTGTTTGGAGTTTTCTCAAGTATCTCTGTTTGTCAACACATTGTTAATTCTCTCTTTCAGATCGATTTCAGTTTATCAACAGATTTTTTTCCAGATTCTTGAAAAACAAAAGCTATTAATGGGTTTTCTTATAATGCAGAACGATTGACTTAGGCCAGACACATTGTACAAAATATTATATAAAAGCTTTCAGGTCTATTTCTCTCACCCTGAACTTGTTCACTTTAATGATAGTACAGTAAAGCGACTATACAACAATGTTATGAATTCTAGATTACAAATTCACAGTTCTTGAATTATTCATCATCGTCGTCTTCTTCTTCGTCATCATCATCAGAGTCATCACCGTCGTCGTCGTTTTCATCATCAGTGTCCTCACCATCGTCGTCATCATCATCAGAGTCATCAGAATCGTTGTCGTCGTCTTCATCATCATCAGAGTCATCAGAATCGTCGTCGTCGTCTTCATCATCATCAGAGTCATCAGAATCGTCGTCGTCGTTGTCATCATCATTGTCGTCGTCATCCTCGGTGTTGAACTTGCCAGACAGGACGTTCTCTATCCAGTCCGCCAGCTTCTGGGCTGTGGGCAGGTCCTGTTCTTCCATCTCCAGCCAGATGCTGTCAGCCTGTCCAGAGGAAGAGAGAGAGTTCAGGGGCCAAAGGTCATGGACCATCATGAGTTAGATCTGAGTTTCACAATTTCTGACTGGTTTCCACCAATTCCTCATGCTGTATTGGAGCTGTTCGGGGACTCACATCCGTAACGTTGACCACGCCGATCTGAGGTTTGAACAGGTCCACCTGGAAGGTCTTCTCCCAGTAGGGGATCAACTGAGGAGAGTGAGAGAGAACACACTGTGAGACCTGAGAACTGTAGGGACTTGAGTTCACTTAGTCCTGTCCGTCCATCCGTCAGTCTGTGCCTCACCAGGGGGAAGTCATCAGGGTCGATCCAGATTATGCTGAGACCAGGGTGGTGGGTGTTGTCTCTAGCCACCTCCTTCAGCAGCTCCAGGAACTCATAACCATCTGAACACCACCAACCAACACATCAAGAAGGTTAGTCTGTGTTTTATCACACCAGGAGAAGTTTGTTTGATTTCCTGAAAGCTTTTGATCCATTTCAGTGATTCTCAGTTTCAGATAAGACTGATATATGAGGTTGCTCTTTTAAAAGCTATGTCACGTTCATCCCCTCAGGAACCTATGTTGCAAAGCTGATGTTGGCCCTGATCAAAGCTGATGTTGGCCGTGATCAAAGCTTATGTTGGTCCTGATCAAAGCTAATGTTGGCCCTGATCAAAGCTGATGTTGGCCCTGATCAAAGCTGATGTTGGCCCTGATCAAAGCTGATGTTGGCCCTGATCAAAGCTGATGTTGGCCCTGATCAAAGCTGATGTTGGCCCTGATCAAAGCTGATGTTACTGTAATATTGATGTATTCTTTACCAGGGTCCTCCTCCTCTGCGAAGGCCACTATATGGCTCCCCTCCACATCGTCCTCCTGAAAATGAGACATCATGAGACTCTGTCCAAGGTTTGAAAGAAATTAACACACTTACTGTTGTACTTGCCTTTCTTGCACTAACACTTGCACTTGCATAAGGTAAATGAACAGACAAAAATCCTCACCCATGTCTCAAACATGTCCTCAGCACGCAGCTTTCGCAGTGTTGGCCTGAAAGCATTACACAACGCTATCAGTCACAGACATTGATCAAATCATCAGAATGAAATTACTGTGTTTTCTGACAGCCACACTAGGGTGGCAGGTAGCCTAGCGATTAGAGTGTTGGACCTGTAACCGAAATGTCACTAGTTAGAATCCTGAACCGACAAGTTGAAAAATATGTTTATGTGCCCTTGAGCATGGCACTGAACCCTAATTGCTCAGCCACTGATTCCTTCCATACCTTCTGTGTTCAGTGACGAAAGCCACGATCACCTCCTCAGAGTTGGGCCTGTCAGGGAGGGTGACAGGCTCCTCCATGAACGGCTCGTAGAAATCCACCTCGTTCATTTTAAGGGTCAGCTCCTTGGCCACCTTAAACACCACAGACACCTGAGTCAGCACCCAACTTCCTTCATTGACAGGAACCCTTCTCACAGACCAAGGAAATAGGATGTCAAGGTATTCATGTCTGTATACTCACAGCTTTCTCAAATGTGGTGAAGAATTTGATGTAGGGTTGGAACTGCTCTGCAGCCTCCTTGAATGCACTGTAGTCTGGAGGAAAGGAGAGGTTTAGGAAGAAGAGAAAGGAATGGATGGGAGGAGGGAGGGAGGGAGGGAGGAGAGGAGAGGAGAGGGCATTTTACTTATTTTGAAGAGGGTGTACTACTGTATAACCACTACTCTATAACCACACCATTTATTATCCGTTGAAGAGAGGTAGACCTTCAGCATTTAGAATAATTCCCCTGCTGCTGCTATCACTTAGCATAGCTGTCAGCGAGCATCTACTAGCTTGTGCGTGCTAGCTAGACTAGGATTGGTCTTTAGGGAGATGCCATTGACACATACGTGTACTGAAATAACTGAGCCCCGTTGACCCCTAGTTCTAGGCTCCCACAGTCGGTCAGGGGTGAGACAGCCGTAGTGCTTATCATGAGTGCGATGCGGTGTCTTACGGTAAATATAAACATATTTGGCCCTCGCAGCTGTGTGTGGAGGGAGGGTAAAATTGGACATGTAAATCCATGGTGATGGTGAGTTTAAAATGCTGCGGTTATTATCAAGGCCAGGGGATCAGCCAATAGCAATCCAACCCTGGCCATCACACTAGCATGACAGGGACCACATTTAAACAACCTTAACACATACACACAGAGACACACAGACAGACTGGCAGAAAGACAGAAAGACAGACACACACACACACTCACGTTCTGAGTCCTCGTTCTTAAAGTATCCAATGAGGCGGATGTCTTCCTCCATCCTGTCAAATGCCCTCAGCTCCAGAGCATTTCCTATCACCTCCACAGGCTCCTCCAAAAGCTAGAGAGAGAGAGAAAATAACATAACATAACAGTAAGCTGATCCTAGATCTGTGCGTAGTATCAATGAGGGCACTCCCAGACCACTCACGTCTAGTAGGAACTCCACCAGGGTGTTGGCAGAGAGCAGGCCGTCAAACTCAATCACACGGTCTGCCTTGAACACGTACACACTGCCCTCTTCCACCAGGCCTGGGGTCAGAGATCAGGGGTCAGATGGTCAAATACAGACCATTATTTACAGCCATTCACTGAAGGCTTTACAAAAACCTTTTGGTGCTTTCATGTAATGTGCTTCATAGTCATGCAGTATAATAATAATAATGAGCAACTATAGTGCGCACTGAAGTGTTAATGTGTTTCCTTACCCAGCTTCTTGGCAACCTTGGTGTCTTTGTGGGAGTCTACCATTCCAAACCCAATCTCCTTTTCCTCCATAACCTGAGCAGCCAGCTGGAGATGAAGACAAAAGACAGTTAGTGACATTCTTTCAACATCATCATAACACTAAAATTGGAACAGTGTCAAATAGAGCCCTTATTGTTCTATAGTCAGGAACTATGATCCAGTTTCAAGCATGTTTGGCAGGGGGACAGACAAACAGACAGACAGACAGACAGACCGGGCCGAGATTAGGCTTAGTTGGGGTGACGTTATTGAGTAGATAACAGAACAGCCCCAAGGCAACACAAACACACACACATACACACAGAGAGAGACAGAGACAGTCAGATGAGGACTAAAAGTACCATTGCTCCATATCCAGACCAGAATGCTGCAGCCATTGTGGGCTCAGTAGGTGAGGCTCTGCCAGCCAAGGCCTTGAGCTCTGACAGATCCCAAGGCAAATTGAGGCTAAGAATACCTGACTGACCGAAATATCAGGAGGTGAACAGACTGATTTGTCTTCATCCAGATAATACGTTGACAGGTGATCATTTAGGGCTTTGAAAATCATGTTTGAAAAGCACTTTATGAATACAGTTATCATTGTTAACATTTAGAGGCATGGATTCTCCATTGGTTATAGACAAGAAGAAAGGCTTGTATGTCATACTTTTGACAACCTCTAGCAAACCCAAACAAAGTACACATAGGCCTAGACATAATACAACACAACAGACATTACCACATGCAACATGGAACAAGTAGCCTTTGTCAAAGCATGAGACATTGACAGAGTGATGAAGAAGACCAGATGTGGACTCTTCAAACAAATCTCACTCTGTTCGCTCCTTATAAAATAATGGCACATGTATGTCATATTTTTTCTTTTTTTTTTCTTTTTTTTTTTTAAGGGGGAATGGATCAGCTTAATATTGCAGATAGATTGTATCTTCTATCAATGTAATTGTCTGCATCACTTCCAATCCCCCATGTTTATTTTATTTTTTATATATATATTCCCCTTTATTACTTTTCAACCCCACCATCCTTTCCCTACTTGGAGTAAATTAGTGAACAACAACGCCCAGGCCTCTACTTCCGGTCTATACTTACTATCTACACCTTATGGACAGAGTTAATTTTACAATAATTCTATATATATATATATATATATATTTTTTTTTTTTTTGACAATATATATATATTATTTTATTTTTTGCTCCTGAACTTCTTCTACTCTCAACCTCTCCGATCATTTTCATGATGTCCATCCGGTTTGCTTCTAAATGCCATATCTTTCTAACTGTGCTCTTTCCCAAAAGCTCCCAACATACAACCTATATACTTATTATGGACACAGTATGCTTACATTATTAACTATCTTTGTTATTATTTGTTGTTATTTGTTATTAGTCCCATCCTTCAACTCTATTCAATACCTCCCATCTATCTCTTAACACCATCCATATAGGATTTCTATTTGCCATATATATTTCAACCGTACTGTGATGTTTTACAAAAGTTCTGAACCTTTCTATTCTCATTGCTTCTACAGATTGTGAATTAAAAATAAACATTTTTGCTAAAAGTATTATTATATTATTGATTGATTGACTATGACTTTTCAGATCACCCAGTAATGCTATCTGCAAGGTTAGTTCCAGGTAAATATTGCAATCCTTTAGCCATTCCTGGACCTGTGTCCAAAAACAAGCTACAAATGGACAGAACCAAAACAAATGATCTAATGATTCTGTCTCTTCACAGCAAAATCTGCAGAGCTGGGAAGATTGTATCCCCCATATAAATAACATTCTATTGGTAGCAAGAATTTTATATAATAATTTAAATTGAAAGATTCTAATTTTTGAATCCGGTGTCGTTTTGCATGTCAGTTCATAAACACTATGCCATGGGATCGGTACGTCAAAGATCTCTTCCCAACTATTTTGCAATCTATATGGGACGGCTGTCAATCCTTTGGTCCTTAAGTGAAACTGATATACTTTTTTATTTATCACAGTTTTCCTTAACCTATTATGTTCTTTAATGCAAGGCCGACAGACAAGTTCCTTACTTTCTCCCCCTTCAACTTTCCTCTTCCACTTTTGCGGTAAGGCTGCAATTATTTGGTTGTAATTTTGGGTAGAGCAGACATTTCCATATGTTTTTGTTAGCTGCATGTGCGACATAACTCCACCAGTCCTACCGATGATATCATTTACGAAGATTATACCTTTTTTAAACATTCTGTCAAAAAATAAAGGTTTTTTGTCAATTAGTATATTTGAATTTAACCACAATATTTGTTGCATTATTTGTTCTGTCGTTTTTGGAGGATTAAATTGAAATTGCAACCAACTTTCTATGGCTTGTTTTAGAAATAGTGACATTTGGGAGATTATTTCCTTTTCAAATAACTGAAAGTGAGAGGTTGTAATCTGAATAAAGGGAAAAAGGCCTTTCTTGAACAGTGGGTGAGACAATCTTACTAATTTGCTTGAGAACCAGTTCGGATTTAAGTATAACTTTTGGATGACTGAAGATTTTAGTGATAGGTCTAATGCTTTAATATTTAATAATTTCTGTCCTCCGAATTCATATTCATTATATAAATATGCTCTTTTAATTTTGTCTGGCTTGCCGTTCCAAATAAAATTGAATATTTTTTTCTCATATAATTTAAAAAACTGTTTGCTAGGCGTAGGCAAGACCATAAGCAAATAGGTAAACTGGGATAATACTAAAGAGTTAATCAGGGTGATTTTTCCACAAATTGACAGGTATTTTCCTTTCCATGGTAGTAAGATCTTATCTATTTTTGCTAACTTTCTATTAAAATTTATTGAAGTGAGATCATTTATTTCCTTTGGGATATGTATTCCGAGTATATCCACATCACCATCAGACCATTTTATTGGTAAACTACATGGTAATGTAAAAATTGTATTTTTTAGTGATCCAATACGTAATATAGTACATTTGTCATAATTTGGTTTTAATCCAGAGAGGTTAGAAAATGTATCTAGATCCTCTATGAGGCTGTGGAGGGATTCTAGTTGTGGATCTAAAAGAAAACATGAATTATCTGCGTACAATGACACCTTTATTTTTAAGCCCTGTATTTCTAATCCTCTGATATTATTATTGGATCTGATTTTAATAGCTAACATCTCGATGGCCACAATAAATAGATATGCCGATAGTGGACAACCTTGTTTCACTCCTCTTGACAGTTTAAAACTTTCTGAGAAATAGCCATTATTTACTATTTTACACCTAGGGTTACTATACATGATTTTGACCCATTTTATAAGAGATTCTCCAAAATTGAAATGCTCCAGGCATTTATATATAAACCCCAGTCGAACTTTATCAAATGCCTTTTCGAAGTCTGCTATGAATAGCAGGCCTGGTTTCCCATTTTTTCCATAGTGTTCTATTGTTTCCAATACTTGCCTTATATTATCTCCAATGTATCTTCCATGTAAAAAACCTGTCTGATTAGAATGAATAATATCCGACAATACCTTTTTAATTCTATGCGCTATACATTTTGCTTGGATTTTTGCATCACAACACTGAAGTGTAAGGGGCCTCCAATTTTGTAAATGGACTGGATCTTTATACACTGCTCACAAAAATAAAGGGAACACTAAAATAACACATCCTAGATCTGAATGAATACAATAATCTTATTAAATACTTTTTTCTTTACATAGTTGAATGTGCTGACAACAAAATCACACAAAAAATATCAATGGAAATCAAATTTATCAACCCATGGAGGTCTGGATTTGGAGTCACCCTCAAAATTAAAGTGGAAAACCACACTACAGTCTAATCCAACTTTGATGTAATGTCCTTAAAACAAGTCAAAATGAGGCTCAGTAGTGTGTGTGCCCTCCACGTGCCTGTATGACCTCCCTACAACGCCTGGGCATGCTCCTGATGAGGTGGCGGATGGTCTCCTGAGGGATCTCCTCCCAGACCTGAACTAAAGCATCCGCCAACTCCTGGACAGTCTGTGGTGCAACGTGGCATTGGTGAGTGGAGCGAGACATGATGTCCCAGATGTGCTCAATTTGATTCAGGTCGGGGAACGGGCGGGCCAGTCCATAGCATCAATGCCTTCCTCTTGCAGGAACTGCTGACACACTCCAGCCACATGAGGTCTAGCATTGTCTTGCATTAGGAGGAACCCAGGACCAACCGCACCAGCATATGGTCTCACAAGGGGTCTGAGGATCGCATCTCGGTACCTAATGGCAGTCAGGCTACCTCTGGCGAGCACATGGAGGGCTGTGCGGCACCCCAAAGAAATGCCACCCCACACCATGACTGACCCACCGCCAAACCGGTCATGCTGGAGGATGTTGCAGGCAGCAGAACGTTCTCCACGGCGTCTCCAGACTCTGTCACGTCTTTCACATGCTCAGTGTGAACCTGCTTTCATCTGTGAAGAGCACAGGGCGCAGTGGCGAATTTGCCAATCTTGGTGTTCTCTGGCAAATGCCAAACGTCCTGCACGGTGTTGGGCTGTAAGCACAACCCCCACCTGTGGACATCGGGCCCTCATACCACCCTCATGGAGTCTGTTTCTGACCGTTTGAGCAGACACATGCACATTTGTGGCCTGCTGGAGGTCATTTTGCAGGGCTCTGGCAGTGCTCCTCCTGCTCCTCCTTGCACAAAGGCGGAGGTAGCAGTCCTGCTGCTGGGTTGTTGTCCTCCTACGGCCTCCTCCACGTCTCCTGATGTACTGGCCTGTCTCATGGTAGCGCCTCCATGCTCTGGACACTACGCTGACAGACACAGCAAACCTTCTTGCCACAGCTCGCATTGATGTGCCATCTTGGATGAGCTGCACTACCTGAGCCACTTGTGTGGGTTGTAGACTCCGTCTCATGCTACCACTAGAGTGAAAGCACTGCCAGCATTCAAAAGTGACCAAAACATCAGCCAGGAAGCATAGGAACTGAGAAGTGGTCTGTGGTCACCACCTGCAAAACAAGTCCTTTATTGGGGGTGTCTTGCTAATTGCCTAGAATTTCCACCTGTTGTCTATTCCATTTGCACAACAGCATATGAAATTTATTGTCAATCAGTGTTGCTTCCTAAGTGGACAGTTTGATTTCACAGAAGTGTGATTGACTTGGAGTTACATTGTGTTGTTTAAGTGTTCCCTTTATTTTTTTGAGCAGTGTATTTTCCACTTGTATCCTGTTTCAGTAATAATGAGATCAGACCTTCTTCTTGAGTGTCAGATAATCTACCATTTACATAGGAGTGGTTAAAACATGCTAATAACGGTCCTCTTAGTATATCAAAAAAGGTTTGGTATACCTCGATTGGTATGCCATCCAACCCTGGAGTTTTCCCGGACTTAAAGTCTTTAATTGCATCCAGAAGTTCCTCCTCTGTAATTTCACCTTCACATGAGTCTTTCTGTGTGGCTGTTAATTTGACATTATCAATAGAAAAAAAATCTCTACAATTAGCTTCAGTTAGAGGAGATGGAGGCGACTGAAAAGAAAACATATGCTTAAAGTACTTTGTTTCTTCCTTCAAAATATCATTTGGTGAATTATGGGTGACTCCGTCAATTGTAACCAGTTTCATTAAGTTCTTTTTGGTAGCATTCCTATGTTGAAGATTAAAAAAGAATTTTGTGCATTTTTCCCCATATTCCATCCAGTTTGCTTTATTTTTATAATATATTACACTTGATCTTTCTTGAATAAGTTTTTCCATTTCTTTTTGTTTTTCCTCTAATTTATTCTGAGCCTCTATGTTACAGTTTTTATTGCCATCTATCTGTTCTGTTAGACTTTCTATTTCCTTTCTTAGTATAAACTCTTTTGACCTAAATTGCTTTTGTTTTCGAGATGAGTACTGAATTGCATGGCCTCTAAAGGCACATTTAAAGGTGTCCCATACAATAAGGGGATTCGCTGTACCTATGTTATGTTGGAAAAAGTCAGTTATAAATTCCTTTGTTCTAATTATAAATAAATTATCATCCAATAGGCTTTGATTAAATTTCCAATATCCTCGCCCACGTGGAAATTCAGTCAGAGTAATGTATATGCCTATTATATGATGGTCCGACCGCATTCTGTCCCTATCAACACTTTTTTTACTTTTGGTGCCAACGAGAATGAGATAAGAAAGAAGTCAAGACGACTAGCTTGATTCAGTCTCCGCCATGTATATCTCACTAGATCAGCATATTTAAGCCTCCATATATCTACTAGTTCTAATGTATCCATAACATTCACAATTTCCTTAAGAGCATGTGGGTGATTGTTTGTGGTGTGATTTCCTTTTCGGTCCATTAAGCTATTTAAAACAGTATTATAATCCCCCACCATAATAATATTGTCTTGAGTTGCTTGCAGGCTTGATAATTTATTATATATATTGTCAAAGAATTGTGGATCATCATTATTTGGTCCGTAAAGGTTAATGAGCCATATCTGTTTATGGTCCAATACCATATTTAAAATAATCCATCTACCTTGCGTATCTATTTGGACAATTTGCACATTCGGATCGAAATTACTATTCATTAATATCATCACCCCTTTTGAATTTCTTTGCCCATGGGAGAAGTATATTTCCCCCCCCCCCCCCATTCTTTTTTCCACGCTACTTCATCTCGAATTGTTGAATGAGTTTCCTGTATACAATAGATATTATATTCCTTCTCTTTGAGCCATGTAAATATTGTTCTTCTTTTGTTATTATCAGCTAAGCCATTACAATTATAACTGGCTATACTTATTTCACCATACACCATAATGAGATACAAGTTTCAAGTCTATTTATCATTATATATGTTTGTAAATTTACCAATAAAAAATAGCGTAATGATTGAGTGTCCATATAGCTGTACCATGATATTTGCATTGCTACGGAGTAACCCTTCAATTGTTCTCCACTAATTCCCCCGCTAAAGCCCCTCCCCATCCCAAGTTGAGCCGTCATCCCAGTGATCAGCATCCCACCCACATCCCTCCGTATCCCTAAGGCCCCGAGAGGCCAGGACCCATCCATCGAAAACAGCACACAGTGCCACCCACAAAACAGAAGCAGATTAACCACCAAAAGCATTTCCAATGCTTTCACCTCTATATATATATATCTATATAACTATATATATTTTTTTAATTATGCATATCCTATTTTCCATCATTATCAATTAATATGTGTAATAATGTCGGCAGTTCACGCATAGGATTCTAACATATAACCCGGATTGCCATTGTATTACATTTAATTCATTGACAAGCAATTATTATCCTAGCAAATAATTCCTGCGGTCCATCCCATACCCCCCCCCCAACATCCCCACCCCCCCCACAACAGATGCCAGACAAGCACACACGCACATACTCACATACTCCAACACACTCAACCCCCCTCCTCCACAATCCACCATAAAATCCGATACTCAACGGCTGTTATATCCCAGAGCCCAACTCGAGAAATAACTTGATCTACGAGTGCACATACAGTTAAAGCTGATTGAGAAAGCATGCAGATTGAGCAGAAATTGATAACAATGTGAGATTTGATTAATCTACTTAATCTATGTCAAGTCCTAGGTGATGGAGATCAGATCCACCCTCTTCACCTGAGACACAAACACTCTGATCCCCTGTTGTAACCATTTTCCCAAGCATCTCCATGCGGTCAGACCTTTGATTATTTTGTGCCACCTGGGCCACAATGATAAACCCCCTCTCTGATTGTCCGAGTGTGACCCCCTCCCCATGGGTTACTGCAGCCAGTGTTGCCAGCACTGCCACTACCTGGGTGGGCGTACCCCACCGGAATCCCCACCGGCTAGGTAAAAGGTCGTCAAGGTTCTCATTAGCAGCTTTGAGAATTTCCTTGTATATTATGCTCTCCCATCAGGGGGCTCTGGCTTTGTAGGACCAACCCTGCCAGGCAGGCTCAGAATCTTGAGGGGGCGGTGCTGCTCAAGTAGGTCTCTGACCGCATTTATTTCTCTGTTTAGGCTGCATATTCACAGCAGGTCCATAAAATAGATGGGAACTTCTCTTTGGTGTATGGGTCGCTCAGGTGGGTGTCCAGGTTATAGGGTTAGGGATCTTTCCATCATGATAGGACAATGAATAATTAGATTAGATGTATACTATATTTAAAAATGTATATCCCTCATCTACACAAAATTGAAAGCTCTCTCTCTCACTACCCCTGCTCATAGACCCCTGGTCGGCTCTGGGATATGCAACCATTTCCCCTCTCACTCACTTAACGCCGCACCTTTTCAAACACAAAAATGCACACCACATGGTTGACTGCGGAAGAAATGGGCCGAGCGTGCAAACGCACCCGCATCCACATCTGCCGCAAGGGGGAAAGGACGCCAGAGAGAACACAGGACCAACCACAACAACCATCCGCCAAAACAACAACCTCCCGCCAAAAAAGCCATGTTCTAATTATTTGTATTTAAAGATGTATTATTATGCTTGTTATATCGTTTTATCCATTTATAAAATACTATACTTACTATAAATGTTATTTAATATTACAATCCCTATCATTGCTAGTATCAGGTGCTCCAATATTTGACTCCTCTATTACAACTTTTAGAATAGCCATGGAGTAGTCTTTGTGTCTCTGAACATTTGGTTGTCAATATATAATTTATCCACCACTAGTGCAACACGTTTCCCTTTTAATCAGTTTTCCTTGAAGATTGGATACAGAACTTTGCGCCTTTCTACAATCTCCTTCGGGAACTGATCATTCATGCCTATTTTCGTGCCAGCAAGTCTTTTTCCCAGGCTTTTCACCATAGCTTTATCCTTAAAAAAAGCTATGTAATCTTATACAGATAACATTTAGTGAAGCAAAAGAGCAAGTAAAGTTCATCATGATTACCCTGGGCCCTAAACCTAGTCCGGTCCACCTGTGGTGAGTTAAATATCTGGGGCTATTAGGAGTGGGAGACTGTGCTCAGGCTAGCTGCTGCACATCACACTCTAACTCAACACAAGCCATGAGGAACACAGGACAGCTAGGGAGAGGAGATTAGGCCAAAGTAGCCCACTGTAGCCCACTGTCACAGCTCAGAAACCACACACTGCTGCAGTAGGATACTAACTGACACTTTACTTGAAGTAGCTTCTTATGAAGTGCTCATTTCCTAATAAACATATTCATAAAACATTAGGACATGGTATAATCAATTAGCTAACCTTCTAGTGATTAAATATACATGTCATTGACATAGTATTTTAAGACCAACTCAATCTAAGCGTAAGCAAAAGAGCATCTGCTGGTAGAGCACGGCACTTGTAACGCCAAGGTAGTGGGTTCGATCCCCGGGACCACCCATACACACACAAAAAAAATTGTATGCACGCATGACTGTGAGACGCTTTGGATAAAAGCGTCTGCTAAATGGCATATTATTATTATAGCAAAACAGGGAGAGAGACAGACCTACTGCAATGCCCTTCACATGTATAGCTCAATAATACAGAACTGGGCAGCCTCACACACACACACACACACACACACAAACACTGCACATACACAGTAATATCTCAAAGTCATAAGAATCACTGATTGACAGGGTAGCTCAGCATTCAATCCAATTCAATCAGAGTTGATAATAATGTTTATTTGCATAATAGCCATTTTATGACAGGCTCTCATTCTAGCTTCTTCTGCACTCTTAACCCCTTCAGTAAGTTGTGGGCTCTGTGCCCATTGGAACACAGTGTCTTGGTACTGTAAATTATTTATGGAGTGGGTCAGTGACCCCAGATTGTTAAATCACTTCAGTCCAGCCCAGGTGCTCCCCCTCCCTGGTGACTCTCCCCTTTCTACTCTACCCACCATCTCTTTCTTCTCCTCCTTATCTTTCTCTCTCTGCCCTGTCCTCCTTCAGTGTATCTTCATACTTTCTCCACCATCTCGTTCCTAGGATCCTTCATCCCCACCTCTTACTTCCTTCTCCCCCCACTCCTTCATCCCCACTTCTCCCTCCTCTTCCACCTCCTTTCATCTCTCCTCCCCTACCTCCCTCCTCCCCCACCATCTCCCCTTTTCTCCCCTCCTCCTCCTCAGGCTTACCTCCAGCACCATCTCAATCATCTGGTGTTGTTTCTGCAGCTCCTTGTCATCAGGGATGGGTTTGTGGTACAGCAGACACAGCATGGTGTACTTCTTCATGGCCTTCTTGTAGTTCTTGTTATTGATGTCGATGACTCTGTCTTTCCCGTCATAGCGAGGGAACTCCAGGCCCTTCTCGGCCGGGATGAGGGGTGCCAGAGACAGGCACAGGAGCAGGAGCAGCCACAGGGCATGCATGGTCTAGGGACAAGTTAGGAACAACCACACACCCCAAGAATCACAGAGTAACCTTTAATCACTAGATAAGGCCTCCACAAGAGCACTTAGGCTGAGGAAGGTCAATAAACTCCCCAAAATGAAAAAATATATTTTTTTAAACAATAGAAAGATAGGTGTAGGTTGCCCTTAAGTTATAGTATAAATCTCCTTGGGTCTCCTTCCAAGCCGTGCTCTATAGTCCATGCCGCTTGTTCAGGAACCAGCGATCCTCTCTCTCCCTGTTTCACTCTCTTGCTCCCTCTCTCCAGCTAAGACAAAGAGAAAGAACAGCCCTGACAGACCTGGAGCGCTAGGGGGCTAGATACCGTACATAGCAGCGCCCCTCTCCCCCTGGCCACCACACACAGGCCCATTTTTAGGAGACCAGTTGTTTAGGTGCTAAAAATAAATAGGTGAGTGAGAGAGAAAGAGAGAGAGCGAGAGAGGAGATAGGTTTTTTTTTACAGGCCTCCACTCTCTGCTCACACTCTTACACCATTACGTTTCTACTTGGCATGCTGGGAAGAATGAGAGAGAAGTGTGCTGAGGAGATTTGGGGGTGTAGAGATTTTGGGGTGAAAGCAATCTGGGGTCTGCATATCTACAGTTCTAACAGTCACTATAGATTGGGTTTGTAACCATGAGCATAAAAGGAGACTCCTGAGCAGTGCCCAGCACCGTAAACCAGGTATTCCCAACAGGTTAGCATTATGCTAACAGTGTCCCACACCACAAGGTCTAGTGTATGTTGATAGATGCATGCAGTGACAGGCTAATGGACAGCGCCTGAATGCAACTGGCCTGAAGGCAACTACAATATCATTGCGATAGCTTTATAGTGGCTACTTTAACACTAGCTGTCCTATTGCTGTGGTAGTTGGTGCAGTTGTCTGTTAGAGCATACTGTTGGAATCAGACTAGGGTAGGGGAGGTGTTGGCTGGGGGGTTACAGTTACAGTCAAAAGGAATAGCCAGACAAGGAAACTCTGACATTGTGTGTGTGCGTGCATTCGTGTGCCTGTTGACAGCCTATGGAGTGAAGGTAAATATACTCTCCTTTGAGAGGGTAGGCTTAACTGGGATATTAGGCAGGGTTGGGTAGGTTACTTTCTAAATGTTATCCATTACAGTTTCTAGTTACCTGTCCAAAATTGTAATGAATTACTTTCCCCATAAGAAGCATCATTAGTTTCTCTGACTTGTGGTTAGACTTCAATGCTGAATTTAATGTCATTGAGAAAACAGAAAGGTGTCATATAATGTATTTTTTCACAAACATCCTTTCTGAATTTAAAAGTAATCCATAAGTAATCATCTAGTTTTTCAAAAGTATCCCCCAAATGCAATGACACTGAAACTATTCCCCTGACACTTGACCCCAGGGATGTGCTGACAATCACTGAAACAGCTATGTATACACGTGTGTGTATGCATGAATGTGTGTTAGCATGTGTGTATATATCACAGGAGGTTGGTGGCACCTTCATTGGGGAGGATGGGCTCGTGGTAATGGCTGGAGCGGAATTTGTGAAATGGTATCAAATACATCAAACGCATGATTTCATGCGTTTGATGCCATTCCATTTCCTCTGTTCCAGACATTATTAGGAGCTGTCCTCCCCTCAGCAGCCTCCTGTGGTATGCATGTGTGAGCATGTAGTTTACCCGTTGCCAAGGACTACATGCAAAGCAAAACAAAGGCTTGATCTCAGCAAAATATAAACCGTGTGACACAGGCATCATTTTCTTTGAGTACACTGCCTGTGTGACTATGTGTGTCTCTGGCTAGTCCAACTGATGAGGACAGTAACATCGTGAGAGATGCCATCTCTGGCACTGAGACTTTTTTGTCAAGGTTTTTTTTAGCCCGTCAGAGACCGTAACCTGATCTCTCTGCTCTCTCATTGTCACTGGGGCTAAAATGGAACAGCCTGGGCTTACAGTACATTGTATGGCTCAGAGTCTCTGATGAAGAAGTAACCTGCTAGCAGGCCGTGCTTGGTGTTATCACAACTTCAATGTACTGTGATGGTTAGTGATTACCATTACTAAGGTTTATACTGGCAAAGAAGGAAGGTTGTGTGTTTGTTGAGTTCACTTGCAGGAAATGTCACAGAGTCAACTCCAGACTTCACCATCCCTGCTGTAGAAAGAGGAGAATTGCAGCTTGTCTTCATACTATGCAACCTGGACTCAGGGGTAGAAATAATATAGTAAAAGTAAATCTGTGAGACTCAAATTTGAATGATATGTTACATTTGGTATGGTATGTGATTTGTGGATGTCCATCATCCATTTTGTATGATATGTTATGAATTACAATTCGTATGATATGTTACGAATTGCAATTCGTACAATATGTTAGGAATTTGCAATACATATATGATATGTTACGAATTCCAATTTGTTGTGGCTAATGTTAGCTAGGTGACTAACGTTAGCTATGCTAGTGGTTAGGGGTTAGGGTAAGGGTTAGCTAACATGCTTTGATTTTATTTTATTAGGATCTCTTTTAGACCTCATTTGGACTAATCTTCCTAGAGTCCATGCTAAGTAGTTGCAAAGTACTCACACCCTTTTGACTTTTTCCACATTTTGTTGTGTTACAGCCTGAATTTAAAATTGATTACATTGAGATTTTTGTGTCACTGGCCTACACGCAATATCCAATGATGTCAAAGTAGAATTATGTTTTTAGAAATGTTTACCAAATTAATTAAAAATGAAACGCTGAAATGTCTTGAGTCAATAAGTATACAACCACTTTGTTATGGCAAGCCTAAATAAGTTCAGGAGTAAAAATGTGCTTAACAAATCACATAATAAGTTGCATGGACTCACTCTGTGTGCAATAATAGTGTTTAACGTGATTCTTTAATGACTACCTCCTCTCTGTAGCTCTGTCGAGCATTGAATTTCAAACACAGATTCAACCACAAAGACCAGGGAGGTTTTCCAATGCCTCGCAAAGAAGGGCACCTATTGGTAGATGGGAAAAAAGCAGACATTGAATATCCCTTTGAGCATGGTGAAGTTATTCATCACACTTTGGATAGTGTATCAATACACCCCTCACTACAAAGATACAGGCATCCTTCCTAACTCAGTTGCCGGAGAAGAAGGAAACCACTCAGGGATTTCACCATGAGGCCAATGGTGACTTTAAAACCGTTTCAGAGTTTAATGGCTGTGGTAGGAGAAAACTAAGGATAGATCAACAACATTGTAGTTACTCCACAATACTAACCTAAATGACAGAGTGAAAAGAAACGTAATGGAGCTGAACACAGGCAAAATCCTAGAGGAAAACCTGGTTCAATCCAACAGACACTGAGAGACAAATTCACCTTTCAGCAGGACAATAACCTAAAGCACAAAGCCAAATATACACTGGAGTTGCTTAAGAAGATGACATTGAATGTCCCTGAGTGGCGTAGTTACAGTTTTGACTTAAATCGGCTTGAAAATCTATGGCAAGACTTGAAAATGTCTTTCTAGCAATGATCAACAACCAACTTCACAGAGCTTGAAGAATTTAAAAAAGAACAATGTGCAAATATTGTACAATCCAGGTGTCTTCAAGCTCTGTCAAGAAAGACTCATAGCTGTAATCGCTGCCAAAGGTGATTCTAACGTATTGACTCAGTGGTGTGAATACTTATGTAAATGATATATTTCTATATTTCATTTTCAAGAAATTTGCAAACATTTCAAAAAACATGTTTTCACTTTGTCGTTATGGGGTATTGTGTGTAGATGGGTATAAATAAAATGTTGAATCAATTTTTTATTCAGGCTGTAACACAACAAAATGTGGAATAGGTTAAGGGGTATGAATACTTTCTGAAGCCAACATAAAAAGTAGTAAGTAGTTGCAAAGTTGCTTATTAGCAAAAATGCTAATGTTGTCTATTATCTGATTTGAACATGCAACCTTTGGGTTGCTAGACATTCGCTTTATACGCCCACCCATCCTCCCCGACCAAACTCCCTCATTTCGTTTTTGCCTTAATTGACCTTGTGTCTTATGTAACCATACCAAATGTAACATATCCTACTCATTTGAGTGTTACAGATTTACATTTACTATGTTACGTTTAGTCTTTGAAGCCAGGCTGTACTATAGGGATTGCATTAACTATGCTGTGATATTGCTAATACCTGTATCAGTATTCTGTAAGCAAAGCTCTCTCTTTCCTCGCTCTCTCTCGCTCTCTCGCTTGTGCTCTCTCTCGCTTTCTCTTTCTCTCTCTCTCTCTCTCTCTCAAAACACACACACACACACACATCCATGAGGGCAGTCAGAGCAGGCAGTGTTGTACGGTAGCAGCTGCACCTCTATTTTTTACTGGTCTTATTATTCCTATTTTCATCTCTTTCTCTCCATCCCTCTCTCGTTCTCTCTCTCTACGGTCTGTCACCCCTTTCCTGTCTCTCTCCCAGTCTACCTCGGTCTCCCTCTCTCTTTGCTCTCAGTTTGTCTTTGTAAATATTTTTTGGGTGGGAGTGTGTGTGCTGCTCTCTACGGGGCACTCGTGGTTTGACAGCCCCATTACTTGTCCCTACTTCTTTAGCGCAGACATACTCCTAGTCAGAGGCCAGATAACCACATCAGTAATGATAGATCCACATTTTTTTAATACAATCCATGATTAACATATTAGTTATACAGTCACTACAACACTTTTGTTACTAATGGATACCACAATATTATTTTACTTTCGTACCACAGAGCTCACCAGTTTGTAGTCCTAAAACCCGGAAATGAGTTACCTCTGGTTTGTTCAGCCATTCCTATGGGGAATATTAATGGGGAAAGAATAGAGTTTTGGGATAAACGCCGAAATATAAGGTCTGAGGTTAACAGGCTTAGGAGATCTTATACATTTTGTTCTATGAGATATTTTTTTACATAAATGCTTCAAAATTCACAAAAAGTGACGTTAGCTGATGTAGATTATCTCATAGAACAAAACGTATAAAATCTCCTAAGCCTGTGTTTACCACAGACCCTACAAAAACTCCATTCATTTTCCCTTAGGCTTTGTCCAACGAACCATGGTGAAGTTAGTGCCTACAAAAAGACAGCATTACTATTCCTCTCTGTGCGTGTGTGCCTGTGTGTTTGTACATGGTATATGTGTGTGTTTGTCAGTGGTGTAAAGTACTTAAGTAAAAATACTTTAAAGTACTACTTAAGTAGATTTTTTGGGGTATCTGTACTTTACTTTACTCATTTACATTTTTGACAACTTTTACTTTTACTTCACTACTTTCCTAAAGGAAATAATGTACTTTTTACTCCATACATTTTCCCTGACACCCAAAAGTACTTGATACATTTTGAATGCTTAGCAGAACAGAAAAATTGTCAAATTCACACACTTATCAAGAGAACATCCCTGGTTATGCCTACTGCCTCTGATCTGGCGGACTCACTAAACACACATGCTTCGTTTGTTATGTCTAAGTGTTGGAGTGTGCCCCTGGCTATCCGTAAATAAAAAATGTAAAATAAAAATGGTGCAGTCCAGTTTGCGTATTATAAGGAATTTGAAATGAGTTATACTTTTACTTTTGATACTTAAGTATATTTAAAACCAAATACTTTGACTTTTACTCAAGTAATATTTTACTGGGTGACTTTCACTTTTACTTGAGTTATTTTCTATTAAGGTATCTTTACTTTTACTCAAATATGACAATTGGGTACTCTTTCCACCACTGGTGTTTGTATATGGCGTGTGCATATACATTAGGTTAGTTGGCCGTGGGATTGTTGATGACGAAACTCTGCTGTTGGAGCTGGGCGGTCCAGTCTTCCTCGATGTATTTATGGTAGGGGTCGTTAGAATGCTCACGCCGCTTCGACTTCACCGTGCTCACCAGGATCGCCACGACGATGAAGGCAAACATTCCGATCATCACTATCAGATACCAGATGACGTTCCTGAAGTTCTCCTCTGCCAGGGTGTTGTCCAGAGCCTGTGCTGCCTTCGAGGAGTTCCGGCTCCAGTTGTCAAGGTAATGGCCCAGGGCACGGGTCAGAGAGTCCTCCAGGTGGAGGGTCATGTTTGACCAATTAGGCAGCATGATCACCTGGTGGGCGGGGTAAGGAGAGAGCGAATTGGATCAATGACAGAGGAGAAGACATTGACATTGGTACTGTCTTTCTGTGATCTGTGCACTGAATCTGCATATAAGAATACACAAACAAGCACATACACAGACAATACCGTATATACAGAATCAGACAGTGAACCTTCATGCCACCCAGTTGTGACTTAATCAAGAAAGCATCTAACCTGTTCAGGGTTACCTGTATCGCTCCAGAGAGGTTGAGGAGATGTTACAATCACAGGCGTCAAGATAGAGGCAGGGTCCTGGAGGAGGGAAGTAGGACGAGAAAGAGACAAATACCACACAACCGACCAACTAACCAGCCAACCTCAGTCTAGGACAGAGAGCCAGGGACAAAAAGAAACACTGCTCATATTTGATCTACAGTGTTTGCCAGTGTGTGTGTGTGTGTGTGTGTGTGTGTGTGTGTGCGCATACGTGTTTCTGATGACCTTGAGAAAAGCATCAAGCTCAGCTGATATGGAAAGGGGAGTAGAGTGTTGAGGGTCACTCTCACCCTGCCACACAAACACAAACACACACACTGTAGCCTACATTTGAATCCTAAACAGTGGCACCACTATCAATTGTAGAATATGTTGTAATACTTGAGAAGTCATGTACTCAAAAATGATCTAAAAAAAGAGATACAATCTTATCCCTGAGCAAAAGGACATGACAAACATGCTAGCATTCAAGACAATAGTGCTAAGTGTAATAGTCTTTGCAAACGTGTATAGATAAAGTTTGACGTTAGTGGTGGAGCTCTTCTAATAGCCTACCCCACTGTCTTGCCTTCTGCAATTCACTGTAGTACTGACAATGTTCCTGCTTGTGAAATTCCATACCAGTACCCAAATGTGCCACTAGATAGCAGACAAGTTATCCTGATGTAATGTCATCACGTATACCTCAGGGTTTAAATTGGGCATTCGGAGGTGAGGGAGACCTATTTGGAGGGTTTAGGGTTGAACATACGAACATAAGAGTTCATATTATGGCTAGGGTTAGGGTTGAATTGGGGTGTGGACATGAAGCTAGGGTTAGTGTTAGGGTTAGGACTTTTATCCTACTTTCTATCCTACTCCTCTTTGGACCCTTAAGGTGCTGGAGCTCAGCTTCACCTGGCTCTCTTTTTGACCCAAGGTGCAAGAGCCCGGAACCGGCTGTACCCCGCCAGTTCCTCACAGATTTGTGTTAGGCCTTAAGCTGTTCACCTGAGGATGGTTATACTCTATTACATAACCAGACAGGACTCTGTGTTGTCCATGTCAAACAGTTGAGGAATGTTGCTGAACCTGTTCCCATGGTCACACCCCTGCCACTCCCCTGGGGTGAAGGACATGGAACATGATAGGTACAGCACTAATAAACCTGAGGTACTGTTTGATGTGGCTGAGAGCCAGCAAACACACAGACACACACACATACATACACACGCACACTCTGTGAGTCATTCCGGTATGAGTTTGAGGCCTTTTATGTGAATGATGAGACAGGTTTATCATCAGCTTAGTCTGTGTAATCAGGGGAAGGATAAGGACCAGAGAGCAATACTGCATAGTAGCTCCACTACATGGAAGGGTTAGCGCTCTCTCACCCTGCACCACCACCACTATCTTTCATGTACAAATGGAATATATCTACAGATATGCTAATATACAGTACAATACATGCATTCACAGTGTGCTCTATTCTCTCTGCTCTCATCTCAAAGGGTCAGGTGTCTAATATCAGTGTGTCCAACAAAACAATAATCTGCAGTGGTACACCTCTCTTTCTCAGTTCAACATTCATCCAGGTTATGTTGGCAGCTAATCCTTTCATTTTTTAGAGTGCCATCTCCTCTGCAGAAACAAAACGCTCAAAATGTACTTACACAGTTCTTTGTTTATCAGTGCATTCAGGAATCAACCATGAATACTAGCATTATTTTATAATGTTGTTTGTAAGTAAGATATTGTTTGGTATTATTTGTTATGTAATGAAACCACCACCCAAAAGCCAATTTAATGAAAGGAGGGCATGTTTGGAGACTGGAGGTGTTACTGGAGAACTAACACTCTCTGTTGGTGTGAATTGAGAGGTATAAACAACACTGGAAGGTCATTTGATACGTCTCACCCCAAGATGACTGGAGGGACATTTAAAGACGTAACACGCACAGGCAGGGACAGAGGTTGACCGGAATAACAGAGGAGAGCTGGAGGGAGGACTATGTTACGAGAGCAGCAACACAGGAATCAATGTGTCATGGACCTCCTTTTAGAGACTCATGTTACATAATCAGAGAAATGGATGCACCAACCCCGCATGTCCTGTTTCTGTGTACATATGTGTGTCTGTGTCTGTGTGCATGTGTGTGTGAGTGTGTTGAGACCTAACCTCCATTTACCAAACCCAATTTTTCCTGTGTCTCTGTCCCGTGTCCCTATTTCACAACGTCATTGCCTCACGACTCACACAACACCACCACCACCAATGTTACGCACAAAGGAGGAACTATGTACATTGTTAAAACATCATTGGCTGTGGAATGTTAAATCAAACAATACAGTAAGAGGAAAATGACTAGCTAAGTGAGCTGAGCTTATGACAAGCCTCATTGACTGTCCACTGATTCCCATGTCCCCAATAGACTGCTCATTCCAACACTGATTCCAAAGAGAGGTAAATATTTCCTTTTGCCATTGAGGTCTTTTTTCTGTGGATTAATTCTATGATCTGCTGAATCCCAGACACGCTGCCCATAGTTTGGTCAGGAGTGTGTGGTATGAGCGGAATGTGTCGGTTGTGTGTTTGCGGTATATTCCACAGTGTTAGTTAATGCTCGGACCACATTCCCGCCATGGTTGATTCCGGACTGTCATCCCCCATGAGCGGGAATACCTGGGAAGTGTTTACGTTCTCATAACCATTGGTCAATTACTCACTCACTGGTGTAGGACATTCTCAATCACACAAGGCAATTAACTGTACAGAGTACTGCATATCAAATTCATTCAAAAATGTTGCCGGTTTTTATCATTCAAGTCACTGACTAACCAGGGAATAATGCTGGCGTGATGTTCCCAGTGAATTTCCTTCTCAGTTTGGTGGGGAGTGGGCTCTGACACACACACACACACACACGTGTGTTGTGAGGATGATGGTGTGATGTTCCCAGTGAATTTCCCTCTAAGCTTGGTGGGGAGTGGGCTCTGACACAGACACACACACGTGTTGTGAGGATGATGGCGTGATGTTGCCAGTAAATTTCCATCTCAGCTTGGGGGCAGTGGGCTCTGATGGGCTCTGCAGTTGAAGCTCTGCTGAGTGAGAGGCAGCAGGTAGAGCACCAACATCTTTCCAGCTTTGTCTATCTCTAACACATCATGGAAAGTGACTACTGTGTGAAAAAGTTAACCTTCACGCAAGAGATTTGGACTAGTTCAGAGGAGCCATATCTTATCCCTGTCTGGTCCTGCTGTGACGTGATTGGTGTATTGTTGTCAGAACCAGACCTTGAGGCGATTCTTCTCAACCCTGTCATGGGCATCTCCATGGAGACAGAACAGAACTCCAGAGCTAAACTGATAAGTGGTGTAACTGACTTAAACATACTATAATTATTTTTTAAAACATGAATGTGAATTTATATTTAATATAAATGTAATATACTTGTAATATAGGCTACTTAAATGTTTACCAAAATAACAAGAGTAAAAGAACAAACACTAATGTAATAAACAACAATTAACAAAGAGTGGCCTGACTGCCAGTAATTTTCCACCAAGGAGGACGATTTCATTGGTTTCTGCTGGGGAGGGGGAAAGGCAGATGACTGATCCCAACCAATGAGAAACTGTTAGATCCCGTGGATTTCACTCACTTTGAGAATGTGAGACTGAGACACCATTGACACAACAGCAATACCACCCTGCAGGCAGCATGTATACACTCAGAGGAAACAGGGAGCTTAGTCAACCAATAACAGGCATTCATTAGGCTAGCTGAGAATATTAACAGCAGTGCTGATGCATGGCCAGCTAAATAGAGAGATACTTGTAGGAATATCACACATCCATTTGAAAATCATATTTTTGTGAATAGACCAATAAGTGAGATTGTGGCTTGGTTTGGTCAACGACATGATGACACTGAGCTTCTGTTACATGTTGTCACCTGTCCCCTTTCAGAATCCCTGCAGCATAACTTTCATTAGCGAGGCAGTGTTCATGTGTATCAACCCCAATTTCCTGCTTGGCTTAATTCGAAATGAAATAGGCTTGAAACACTAGACCTATCTCTGAGTGACAGTCTTATCAAATGAGTGTGGGACAAAGGTGTTGATCATATGCACGTGGTTTCTATGTGTTTGATGCCATTCCATCAACTCTGTTCCAGACATTATTATGAGCTGTCCTCCCGTCAGTAGCCTCCTGTGGTTCATTCATTGCCATGGAACATCATTCATACTGTAGGACTCACTCATCAGGCCTCTACATGCCTTCCATTGACTGTAAGTATTCTATAATCATGTTTAAAAAGTATGAAGCAATTTGTTTGACTTAAAAGCAGTGTTTTACTGCAAACGTCAGGCATGTCACTCTACTGTGGAAAAGAGGGGGAAGAAGAGACAGTGGATGATGATAAAGAAAGATATGGAGGAGGCGGGAGAAAGCAGAGAGCTGTCACTGTCCCTGTATATAGCTTCCTCTCTTATTTTGATATTGAATACTGCACTGTTGGGTAGGGCTTGCAAAAATACAACTTGAAACTGGAGCGCTGATGTGATAGAGACATTTCTGAGGAAATGATCCCGTCATCTGTAAAGAAGCCTTGAATCATCCAATCCCCTCCAGCCTTGGAACAGATTAATAATAGGCCCAAGGGTTACATAACCAGTCAGTCAGGTGCCACAGAGGTACTAAACCACAGTGATTTATGAACTTGCCATATGACAACTATGTTATTTTTATACCCTTTTAATTAATTTTAATTAAATGTAAGGACAATTCTTTTTAAAAATACATTCGAAACACATTTACTTATTTTCCAAAGGAACTTTATTAGTTGATTTCTTTTCAACTTCAAAAATAGAACCCATCAAATTAACATATTTCTCTTAGAAAAAGAAACATTTTTACATCTCTTCTTTCTCTTCTCAATACAGTATTCAGGTCCCAGTTTTTCAAAAGCTATCTGGATTTCGCCTATCGAAAAGGATAAAATGCATAGAAATGGAATGAATATAATTGACAAATAATTGCATGGATGGGGACTCCCGTTCTATTCATTATATTTCTATGCATTTAATCCTATCTAATAGGCGATTCTCTGAGATATATAGACAATAATCCTCCATTTACC